AATCAAAAATTGTCTGTCCAGGCAGTTATTCCCCACAAAGAAAATTTCCTTCTTCAGCCCTTTCAAGTAGTAAATCACAACCAGATTCTCTTTCTACTCCAAAACCTCAACAAAAAAATAATGAAAATGGAAAAAGGAGGGGATCTCTTGGAAGTGGACTCTTTAAACTTTTTTCTAGAACTCATAGTTGTAAAGAAGATTCACCAAATAAAAATAAGTAAGGAATTTTTTGTTAAATACTAATTATTTTCTAACTAAAATTTTGTATCCATTATGTCCTTTTTAGGCCTAAAACAACTCCCCATCATCATCAACAACAATATAGACAACAACAACCCCCACCACCTCCATACTTCCACTCCCCAACAACATCACCACCATATTCGGCATACGGATTTTGGCCTCAATGTTTTCCTCCACCTCCAATTCCGCATAGCTTTAATCAGGTCGATATTTAATTTTTTTAGCACTTTATTTTGCTTTCTGTTTATTTAAATGTCTGTCAAAAGCACTCTCTTTTAGTCTTTTGTCTTAAAATTTATTTTTGGCCGGTATTAAATATTTTTTATAATAAGAAAGCTCAAAAACACTTTTAGTCTATTAACAATAAGGATTAGGATCTAGTCCTTTATTGGGCTTCTATCATTCTTCTTTCATTTACAAAAAAAGTTTCTTTCAGGATCTTTCCCCATAATTTTTTTAAATTTAATACCGGCCCTGTTTGTTTCAGAATTGCACTAATCATCGTCCACGTTCTCCACTTCCTACATCAATTGCTCCTCCCGGCATTTTACCTTGGACCCAATCTTTTCGGTATTTTATTTGTTTTTTGTTCGTTTTTTCTTTTCTTTTTATTCTTTCATTTAGTTTTTTTAATTGTGTTTAAATTTAAATTTCAAACAAAATAGATGTCCCCATCCTTCCTTCAACAGCCAATTACATGGGCGTGGGCCCGTAGAAGTGCCCCATTGGCGACAAGGCGGAAACAATTTGCTGAGGCATCAACAAATACACCCTCGCCGCCAAATGTTTCCATTGACTATTACAACTCGTAAATAATTTTATAAAAGTTTATTTTTGAGGAAACAAAGAGTATGTTATACTTTTATATCAGGAAAAAGTTTATTTTTTATTCATACTTGCAGAAAAAATCGAGTTGGATGAGTCTGGACTCATTCTATCATGGTTCTATTCCAATACTTTTTTCTGTATCAGGGATAGAACCATTGTTGGATATTCTTTGAAATAAATTCTCTTAAATAATTTACTTTCCTAATTAATTTACTCAAACTAAGAAAATCCCTAACAAAAAACTACAATTCCTTTTTCAGATTTAACACCTTCTTCTCAGCCCCACCACCAAATCCACCAAAATTATTCGGCAGGTTTTAGTAATTCTACCAACAACAATTTACATCAATCTACTTACAACAATAATGAAAATAATATAAATTTAAATACTAAAAAGAAAATTGGAAAATCAAAACCTTCAGCTATTTTTTATGATGAATATAATAAAAATAATAATAATTGGGTGATACGTTGTTAATAAATAGAAGAATTAGAAGAGAGAAATAAAGAAGTGCCTCTAAATATAACGAATATTTTTTTTATTTTCATCTCATTTTGCATTCCAATATTTTTCCTTCCACTTATCCTATTTTTCTTGAATTTACTGCTTTCAACCAGCAGATCAAAAAACATTTTCTTATAAGAACATTGCAAATTAGAGAAATAAATGTCGAAGGAAAACACTAAATAGGGAAAAGAGTACATGATTCTTGAGATTTTTGAAAACAATTTCTTCACTTCCGGAATTCCTTCAAGAAAAGTTTCAGAATTGTTCCGAAGACACCTTAATTTATATGAAAAGATTTAAGGATCTGATCTTCTGGGTTGACCCTTCTCATTCCATTCACTTAATATTTGCTATTAAATAGTTATTCTACTATATTAAATATTTTGGTTGTGAATAAAAATCTTTGTAAGTAGATAAATTTGTTTTTATCCCCTTTTTTAGTTTTAAATCCTTCAAATTCCCTCTTCCCCCTTTCCCCTTTTTTCAATATTTTCGTGCAATTCGTCGTGTATTTTCTTAAAAACAATTTTAAATGAATTTAATATTTATTATTTATCTATATTTTTCCTCCCTTCAATTAAATGTTGTTGGGCAATTGGCTGCTATTTATTCGGATGTTCGTCGTTCGTCCGATTGTGCTTCTTGGTCCTCTTGGGGAAGTTGCATGTAAATGTTTTAATTATCAGAACGAAATTTGATTCTTGAGATAAAGTACTGCTAGGGGTTATTCTGTTAGGGAAATTACGAGAGTTGGAATAAGCTAAGGATTACACCATACTTTATCTTCCCAATTCTACATTTATGATTTTTTTAACAGATGGCCGGATCCAGGCAACAATGTAAAAATAAACTTCAAATTATTCTATTCTATATGTATATGTACATAATTTTTATTTTTAGTATTCATATTTAGAGCAACTTAGTCCTCTTTGTCAGAGTCACTGGTTTTATCGTTTTATAGGTGGAAGATATGCTTCAGCATTAAATTCATTTTTTGAGGTTGTGGAAAAAATAATTAAAAAAAAATTTTTTTTAGTATTTTCGAAGTCTCCTTTTGGATAATAACCCTTGTGGAATGTGTAGCTATCAACAAAGTTGTGGTTTTGGTGGAGAGAAAAAATGTCATTCAAGTCCTTTTCAGTTAAAGAATTTTCCTTAAAGAATTATAAAAAAAATTTTTTTGAAGTGTTCAAGGAGGAAGGCCAGTAATTCCATTTTATGTGTCAGAACGTATTTGTGGTCGGAAAAGCCTGAAAGGGTATGATCAACATGAAAGTTGTCGTCTTGATTATAATAAATTAATTGGTTTTGGCGAAGAAGAATGCAGGTAAAGGGAAATAAAATTACTCCAAAAATTAAATTCTAGGCTTTGGCCAACCAATAAGGTTGACTTAACATCTGTAGAACCAGGTTTTCGTGAGCAAATACAAAACCTTCAATGGTACAACTGTTTGGCAACAACAGAGACAAACGGAACAGAAAATGAATTGATAAATGTTTGCCGTTGCTGTTGTTTTCCTTTCCGCCCAAATCCACAGACATTTTTATGTGAACACGTTCCTGGGGCACCGGTTGCTCCAGAACAAGAGAAAGAGGAAGAAAATTACTATTCTGCAACTGATTTTCATTAAGTTATTTCGAATGAAAAATAAATTATGAATTTGAAGAATAATTGGCACAATTATAACTTAGGTGGAAAATTGTTAAGTCTAACAATAAGATAGGAGTTAAAATTTTGATTCTCAGTAATAATGAGGATTCAATTAAGTCGACTACTTAGTACCTAATAAAGCAAACATGCTTAAAGTTTGAACTAAATTTAGAAAATAACCAGAAAACATTCAAACCCAATTTATTTACAAACAAACAATATTTACATACAAACATCACACAAGAAAATAGGGACAATAAGAATCACACAAGAAAACCGGGGGAAATTACATATAGTAGATATACAATTATGATGGGAGATTTTTTCCTATTATCATCACACTTGGGCTTCATCATCTTCCATCAACCGCTTACATGTTGTACTCGATTGGAAGGTTCTTGCGGCGAACCATACCGTCACCCTGGAACCACTCGCGGCGGAATTGCTTGGCTGCTCCTTCCGGGGTGTTGGTCCATTCGACGGTGACACGATCGTTGTTGGTCGCTTCCGCAGCCGGATCGAAGGCGTCACAAGAGATGGCGATGTTGATGGCCTCCTTCGGGTCGAGCACACCGTTGGGCGGGTCCATGTTCAGACGGCGAGGGTTGGTCGTCTTGAAGGCGAAGCCGATACGATGCCCACCAGAGTTGATGATCTGTAAAAGTGAAGAAAAATTATTAAATGATTAGATTAGTAAAAAGTGTGAAACTTCACCTTCATGTAGTAGGTGTGCTTGTCGTCGAACGGCGCGTTGAAGATGACCTTCACAGCAGGAAGCGTTGTGATGTCGCCGGGTGGAACAGAAGCCATTGTTGAGAACGGTTTGTTGTCGTTGTTTGTGTAGTTGAACAGAAAGCAGGTTGGGAGAACTGACGTATAACTAGGGTTTTTATAGTTTCTCTCTAGCTCAATGATCCTGTTCTGCGAGCATAAAAGTATAAAAGAGCCAATAGAAAGCCAGTCGGTATCAACCAATTCTCTTCAACTTCAATTCCTGCTACAACAACAAACCGTTCTCAACAATGGCTTCTGTTCCACCTGGCGACATCACGACTCTTCCTGCCGTGAAGGTCATCTTCAACGCGCCGTTCGATGACAAGCACACCTACTACATGAAGGTGAAGTTTTCAGCTTTTTTGTTAATCTAACCACTAATAAATATTTTCCTTTTCACTTTTACAGATCATCAACTCTGGTGGGCATCGTATCGGCTTCGCCTTCAAGACGACCAACCCTCGCCGTCTGAACATGGACCCGCCCAACGGTGTGCTCGACCCGAAGGAGGCCATCAACATCGCCATCTCTTGTGACGCCTTCGATCCGGCTGCGGAAGCGACCAACAACGACCGTGTCACCGTCGAATGGACCAACACCCCGGAAGGAGCAGCCAAGCAATTCCGCCGCGAGTGGTTCCAGGGTGACGGTATGGTTCGCCGCAAGAACCTTCCAATCGAGTACAACATGTAAGCGGTAGATGGAAGATGATGACGTCGAGATGTGTGATAAGATAGGAAAAAATCTCCCTTCATTATGTAATTTCTCCATATATTCTAGTGATTCTTATTGTCCCTATTTTCCTGTGTGATGTTTTGTAAATATTGTTTGTTTGTAAATAAATGATAATTGTTGGATTGATTGTTTTTATTCTTTGGGACTTTTAAAAGGTTTATTTATACCCTTTTGTATTTTAGAGTCATTGAAATTAAATCGAGCGAATTTATTTACATATACCCATAAAAACAATTATAGAAACAAAAATGAATTTTACCCTCATTCATTATTTTTGTTAATGTCCTCCTCTTCAGGCGGCAGTTGGACGTGTTTTCTTATCCTTTTTCTTGTTACTTTGAATTGATCTTGGCTATTAGTAGGTGAAGATATTTTACGTTCAACATTCTCATCATAAGTCCCCTGTTCTTTTTCCTCTTGTTTTTCTTCACTTTCCTCATTATCTTTCTTCTCCTCTTCGGTTTTATTGCTTGTATGCCATCTAAAAATAATTCAGAATTATTCCCAGATTTTAATTTTGTTTTGATTAAATATTCAAAATCAGAAAATACAAAATAAATACATTTTGTTTCTAAAAAATACATAACAATAACAACATAAACTTACCCAAACTTTTCCCTCATAAAATCACTAGCAGGCTCTAAAAATCGAAGAGATTTTCTCCGTCCAGTATTTACTCTCTTTGGTATTCCAGCACCCGTGCAATAAACCTTTATAAATTTTTTATTTAAAATTTAATAAATTTTTTTTGTAAATATTTTACATTAGCAAAAACATTAGTTTCTGATTTTCCAGTTCTAAGAGTGTCCAAACGGCGAGCAATTCTTAAATAACTGTCATCTGTCTAGAAACAATTATTTTTTTAAAGAAATATTCCTTTAATTTACTTGAATAACCAAATCATGTTTTTCTGCTTTTTTCTCTTGATTGCTAGTTATTTCCCCAAGCATTTCCCCCATCTCATTTTCATCATCCCCTACAAGTACTTGAATACTTTCACTTCTTTCTAATTGCATTGATGGACCAAAAAGTGTTTCAATTGCATCACAAATGGTCATTGGATCAGTTTGAGATTCAAAGTGGTGAAGAATGGGTGGGGAATTTTGGGAACTGTAAAATATTGAGAGGGGGGATAATTTAATGATATTATATTTTTTAAAACACATTCCGGAAGGTTGAGAGGGAGGGGGGATGATTCTGTGTTCTCCGTAATATAAAATACAAAAAAATAGCCACAAATTTCTGATTTAAAATAAATTTCAGAATTTACTAAAAAATACCTACATTTCTTCTGATTTTCTTTATTAAAACATTTAAATTACCTTCTATCTACTAACCACCAAAAATCATTATCATCATTTCCCTCTTCTTCTTCTTCTTCTTCTTCTTCTTCATTATTTCCTTCTTTTCTTGTTTTTCTTCCAGTCTGTACTAATTTTGATTTTGTATTTATTTCATTCCCAATTCCTTTTTCTTCAAAAATAATTAATCCTTTAGTATCCAATCTTTGATTCTACAAAAAAAATTAAAAAAAAATTTTTTTTATTAAAATAATTGTATTTACATTAGTTCCAATTCTGTTTTGTGTTCCTTTTGAAATTGTTTTAATTTGTAAAGTATTTACACCTATTTCTTTTTGTATTATTTTCTTTTCTTCGTCTTTTAACTTTTCAAATATTTCCTCTGTTTGTATAGATTTACAATATTGAGGTGGGGGAATAGGAGAAGAAATTGTAATACTTGAAGGGTCCATTGGAAGTGAGGTTGCATCAGAAACAGAATTGTCTGATTGGGAAGAGTCGGTTCTGTTAAAATTAAAGAGAAGATTAAAATAAATGTGTGTGTTTTGAAAGAAATAAAAAAACAGAATAAATAAATGTTAATTCTGATTTTAAATAATTAAATTATTCTGAAAAATATTTAATTCTGATATTTTAAATTTTGAAAGAAAATAACATAATTTTTTCTGGAATTATTAATTAAATTTAAATATGTAGAGTACTTTAGAATTCAAAAACACCTACCTTTTTAACTGTCCACCTCCACCACCACCCCCAATATTTTTATTTTGTGATTTTAATTTTTGTTCATTTATTCTCCTTTCCTCCACCTCTTCTTCTTCGGTTATTTCAATTTCTTCTTCTTTTATTGTTGTTGGCCTAAATTCTGTTTGTATTCCCCTTGTATTTGTGGGGAGAAGAACACGTTCGTATTGCTCTGCCTTTTAATTATTATTTAATCAAAATTTAATCAAAATTTCTACCAAATTTTCCAATTTAACAGTTTGTTTTTCACTAACACAAAGAGGGGCTAATTCACGCATATACCAAGGCTCTTTAGCTAAAAGGTCTCCAAGTATTCTTTCACGTTCTTCCGGGTCAGTTGCTGCTTGTAGTGCTTTTTGATATTCTTTCTATTTTAAAAAAAAAATTAATTTTAATTTATTTTGATGTTAAAAGAATCCGGAAAAGTTTTAGAAATTCTGATTTTTTACAGAAAACATACCTAACTAATTCTGATTTTTGTTCCTTTTCCGGAAAATTTTAAATAATTTCTGATATTTTAATTACCTGCATTCTGATAAGCATTCTGTATAGCCATTCTTCCATTTTTATTTGAATAACAGAAATAAGCATTGAAACAAATGAAAGACCAAAAATAACAAAAACAAACTTTAAAAAAATTAAATTAATTTTTTATTTAAAATTAATTTAAAACCATTAAAATAAGCATATGAGGGTGATCAGGCACAACATCCCCTTAATAATTTTTAATTAAATTTAAAAATATTTTCTTCTTTTACCAAGTCCAATAGTTAAACAAGAAATACAAATAAAATAAAAAGAAGTGAAGTAAGACCAACTTAAAATAATTATTTAATTTTAAATAATTTAAAAATTATTTTTAAACCGATTTTCCCAAGCTAGGAAAATAGCAGCAATAACACAAACATAACCGCCTACTAAACTTAAAGCCATCCAAACGGGAATTGTTCTGAAAAATAATTTTTTTAAAATTGAGAATTCTGATTTTCTGGAAGGTTTTAAATACACAATACCTGCTTTCAGTTGTATTAACTGGAAATTCATTTTCTTCTTTTTTAAAATCAACAACAGTCTTTTTACCTTCTTCAGCCTCTCTCCCTTCTTTTTGTTGTTTTTGTAAATTTATAGAATTTTCATTTAATATTTTTTGTTTTTTATGTTGATTTCTAACTTTTTGTCGATAACTTTAAAAAAATAAAAATAATTTGTTTTAAATAAAATTGGAAATATTTAAAAGTTTTAGATTAAATAAATGGGAGGCGGTTTGCCTGGGTTTAGAATTTGTTTTTAAAAATTTATTCAAATAAAAATTAAAAAATTCCGTTCATCAGAATAACAATTTTGGTGGATATATTTATCGCCATAGACAATTAGGAGTAGCAAATAAACAATCATCATTTGAACGGATTCGAACCAAAGAGAGAAATTAAATATTTTAGAGTGTAGTCAAAACAATTACCCACTACACCAAACAAAAACTTGGAAATAATCGAGAAAATATTTATTTAAAAGAGTCTTTCTTTTCCTTTTAAATTTCAACAAATAATTATTTCCCTTAAATATTTCCCTACTTTATCCATTTCTGACTTAACCATCTAGTCATTCTTCTACTTGTTTGATTTAACAAAGCCAAAACTAAAGGAATACCAACAATTGCATATAAAATTGAAAATGCTTGCCCGGCTGTAGTTCTAGGTGTTATATTCCCATAACCTATAGTTGTAAATACTGTTTGGACTTTAAAAACAAAAATACATATTTCTAAAAAAATTAAAAAATTTAACCATAAAATAAAGCACCCCAAAAGTCCCAAGCTTCAAAGAAAAAATATAAAATTATTATTTTAATTTCAAAACAGAATCCCTCACCCAAAGCTTCAGGTAATTTAATTTTAACTAATTCTCTTTCAAATTGTATCAAAACTTCTTTTTGATGATGCCTCTCTACTCTAGCTAATCTTCTAAGTGTTTGTTGCCTCAATCTCTCTAATTGATTCCATTCTTTTCGAATTAATAAACGTTCATTTTCTGCTTCTAAACAAAAGAAGAGAAGTGCACCGAGAAGAGCATAAAGTAATAATAACATCCAGGGACCGACATGCCGAAGTGGAGATTTTTGGTAAAATTTTTTAGCCTAAAAGAATTTTAAAAAATTTTAATATTGAAGGAATTTTAAAATGTCTGCAGTCTCTCATGTTTTATACACTCTATTATAATTTATTGGGTATAATCCGGAAATTTCCGGAAAGGTGTATAACATTTTTATTTATTGTAGAGTTTTCCGGATTATATGCAGACAAAAAGTGAGATAGTATTAATTTAGTATAATGAATAAATGTGAGAAACAAGTTTATTAACAGAAGACAGACTTTTCTGTTATTAATAATGACAAAAAAGTGAATTTTTTTTAATAGTTAAAAATTTATTATAAATAAAAAATCATTTACTCGATTAAAACAACTGTTTGGACTGGACAAAGACAAAGCCTTTCGTGCTGAGCGAACTGAGATTCCGCCTGGACTCAATGGAGGGCTGGGTAAGGAGTCTCGATGTCCAAGAGGCGGATGATGGTGATGATGGAGGTGGACAAAAATAGAACGTGATCGGTTTGGCTGCCAAAAAAGAGAAAAAACAAATTTTTATTTTATTTTAGATTTGAGGAAGTTTGGCGTAGTATACCAGAAATTGTCAATATAATTTTTTAAAGAATACATAAAAATACAATTCTATAGTGTTGACGGTAATAATTTTAGAATTTCTGGTTAATTAAAAAATTCTAATTTTTTAATTAAGACACATTTCATTTTCATATTTCTGACTGTTACTACGCCATAAAATCCCTTCTTATATTTGAGTCTAAAAATACCAACCCGAATTCCAACAATACTACTAGCTACATTTTCATAATGGCTTGTAGAACTACCTCTACCCTTTTTTGCTGCATTTCCCTCAGATAAAGCCCTAGCGGAGGAAGGTGATGAAGTAGGGGAAGGTATTGCTGAAGAACAACCTGAAGTGACAAAATCGGCATTAAACATTGCCATTTTGGAATTTGTTTAAATTTAATTTCGGCTGTTAATTCATTATCACTTTATTTTTATTTAGAAAAAAAACTAAAAATTTCAAAAATTTATATAAATTTTGATTAATTGAACAAAAAATAACTTGATATGTTTAAAAATAGAAATATTATATCTCTAAATTTATCTCATACCTCGAGATTCACCTATAGGAGAATAAAGACTGGGAATTACCAGAAAAAGAATTAGTAGTCCTACTTTATTTTCTCAAATAATTAACCCCCCTTTCGCTGAAAGGATAATTAATTGTGAAGAGTAATTAATCAAGTGGATAATCATAAAAGAATCTATTTAAAATTAATTTTCATATTCAAAATTAAAAAAAATATTTAAATAAACATAATATTTTTAATAAAAAATGAACGTTGCAACAAACACTAGATATATTAATTAATAATATTTTGGGGTAAAAAGGCAACGAAAAATCAAAGAAAATATAAAATCAACGTTTGTTATTACTTAAAACTCTGGCAGCAAAATATAATGGTTATGTAGCGTTTTAAAAGAGAAAAAAGTTCTTAAGGGGGTCATCAGACGCAATAAATTGGTTGGCTTTAATGAGTTGAAATACTTTTATGATGACAGTTGGCGGCAAATCATGCCGACCCGGCTTACTTAAAACAGATTGGAAAGAAGTAAAGGGAAAGAAAAAGACGTTAAATGTGATGACGATGATTGTTAAGAAAAGAATTAGTATTTAGTAGATATATTGGAGGATAAAATGGGGGACTTTAGTCTATAACATTTAGGCGTGGAATTGTTTGGAGTGCTGAATATAAAAATACGGGTTTTGAAACTAAAAAACGAACTTCTAATCAAATTTATTTGGCAAAATGGTTTCCAAATGATCGCTTACCTGATCCATTACATCACGCCGCCTACTGCATAACGTTAGGAATTAATTTGCTATATGATTTACAATATCAAAGCTAATGACGAAGCCGCGAAGCAAATTTTGTGTCAATCGACCTATTATAACTACCTATTTATTTTGAATGATAAAATAAAGCCCTTGTTTCTAATATTTTATGGCAAATTATTCAAAGGAATCTGATAAAAGAAAAGATCAAAGAAAATCATTTTTATTTAAGCGAACGCCAAAACGGCCAAAAACTAGAAAGAGTGAATATAAAATAAATAAAATTTGAGCTTCTTCGGGATTATTGGAAGAATATATAGTGAAAAATAATATGTATTTAGGTAGTTTTATTGGTATTAATAAATTTTTAATAGATTTTTCTTTGTATTATATGATGAAATTAAAGACGAGAAATGTATTTTAAAATAATATTATACTTCAAAGGAAATTAAAACTTCGTGGTATTCAAGGAAAGAATTTTATGCAGAGATTATTTAAATAAAAACAAAATTTAATATATTTTAAATTATTCCCCAAAAAATTTTAAATATCTAAAATTATTTAAAATTAAAATTATCCATTCTGTGAATTGTCCTTTTAAATAAAGTTTATTTAATTATTAAAATACAATAAAAAATAAATTTAAGGTAATGAATGTGAACGATTTTTAATTGATCTAGGTTTATTCAAAATTTGTTGTTTTCTATCATTAAAACAAAAATTATTTAAATTTTGGTGATTTGTTGCAATTATAATTCTAGTTGCCGAACATCCAGAACTTTTTCTTTTAATATTCAAAATTTTGTTTTCTCCAAGTTTTAAGGCTAAACGTTTTCGAAAAGAAGCAGAAGAAAGACAAAGTAAAATACAATTTAGAGATTTACCTAAAATATTTTGTTTTTTGTAATTTTCCGGAAAATTTTATTTTTAAATTATTTAAAGGAAAAGTTGCTGTGTTTTTCCGGAAAATGTTTCAGAATTATAAAAAATTGTAGATCTCTGCGGAAAATACAAAATGTTACGGAAACATTTAATCAGAATTATTTAAAAGAAAGCGGAAAAAATGTTTTTTCCGGAAAACTTTATTCAGTTTGTGTTTTCCGGAATTAATTTTTCATAATTTAATTTAATTTAACAATTTACCCAAAATAACTAAAAATCCAGTCAAAGATCCAAGTAATGCCCAACCTTCCCAATAATTATTGTTTGTATTACTTCCAACTAAAGAAAGTCTGGCTAATAAAACTAAAGCTGAAGGGCCTTGTGTTAAAGTAAATGCAGAAACTATTGCTGCTATTGAAACAGTTAAACGTTGTTCTGCTGCTTGTTGACTAAAACATCTAGTATTTACAGGCCTTCTATTAATAGAATCTCCACAATTTTTAGTAACTGTTGTTTGAGAAAATGAACGTCTTTTAACAATATAGAGTAAACCAGCATTTAATAAAAACATTAACAAAACTGGTAACTTTTAATGAAAAAATGTTTAGAATAAACATCAAAACAAAGTTTATTTAAATTTACCAAAACAACTAAAAGAGCATTTGCTGCTAAACTTAAACGAACATAAGCACGTAAAGGATGGGGTGTTTTGTTTGTATGATTTCCAGGCCAACTTTCTTGTAAAATATCAAAACATTTCCCAACAACTTGCCCTCCATTACATAACCATTTTAAAACACAATGGTAACTACAAATATTTAAATTACAAAAATTGCTTTGAATTTTTAAATTAAAAATAAATTCTTTAAAAATATTAAAATTTAATTTAAATTAATTAATTTTTTACGAGAAATGGTTGTAAGAAGTAAGCAATCCACTAATAAAAACAATACAAAAAACTAAACGTCCAGTACTATTTCCGTGTCTATGCCTTCGAAGTGAGCGAATACCAAGTAAACGATCTGTGCTTATTGCAATAATTAACCTTTGGAAATTAAATTTATATAAAAAGTCTCTCGGGGGTTTTTTTTGGAATTATTATGGAAATAACTTAATGCTCACAGTTAGGGGAGTTGGTTAAGATCTCCTTACATCTCTCATTTCCTTTCTTTTCCTCGAAAATACAAAAATTTAAAATTTACTCAAGAGAAATTAAGGATTCTTTTTCCATCCTTCCTTTTTTATAAAAATTTTCCCAATCTCCCTCCCCCCTCCCTCCCTCCCCTCTCTCAAAATTTCCAAAATAACCAACCAAATAGCAACAGCAGAACACCAATTAGCAAAACCAATTAAATGAACACGTAAAGACAAATAAAAAACTCTAAAATGTTTTTGTTGACCAAATTGGTCGAATTGGGCAAGTGAAGAAGGGAGGAGTAGAAAAAGGAAAATAATATCACAAATAGCCAAAGCTTGAAGTAAAGAATCTGCTCTGTTTTTGTTTTGTTTTTTAATTAAAAATAAATTTAATTTTTAATTTTACCTTCGAAGAGACCATTTAGGCCCTAAAAGAACCAAAAGATTTAAACAATTACCCAAAACTCCCAATAAAAAAAGCCAAGGAAATATCCAAACAAAGAAAAAACTCTTTTTAAAAAAATTATTATTTTTTTAAATAAATTTTTAAAAACTTCTATTGGAGATTCGTGTAATCGAAGAAGTTCATAAGGTAAACAAATTTGATTGTTCATTTAATTAAAATAGTTAAAAAGGATGGATGGTAGTTATTTTTTAATATAAAATATTCTTTAATCGGATATGTAGTATTGAAGAATTGAAAGAGAAGAGAATTAAATTGAAGGATTAATTATTTATATTTAAATTTTAAAGGAAGTTAATGAAAAATAAGTTCACTTAATTCAAATCAATCGAATTCCCATATGTCCTTCTGAGATTCGATGTCTACTGCCTAGTTGAATCAAACCCTCTACAAAGGTGTCCGGAATTCGAGAAAATCATTTTTCGGGATGTTTTGGATATATTTACTTGTTTATACTTTTGCAAAAACAAGCAAACAAAAAATTTTTTTATTCAAAAAAAAGTAATTTGTAATTCAAAAAAGGTTAAATTTGGATGTTAAAAAAAGAAAATAAAAGAAAATGTTTTGTTGTTGTCTTCTTCTTGGGGCAACAAAATCGGATTATTTTATTTATTTAGTAGTCAACCCGTTGGCCCAAAAACTTTTTTTTATTGAAAAGACTTTTTTTCTTCAAAAAATATTCTTTAATATTATATTAGCCTTTAGCAGGTGGTAGAAAATTGAAAAAAGTGAGGGTGGATATTTGGAAGTTAAAAACAAAACTAAAAAATTTTTACGAAGATCAGCTGACACAAACGAAAATTAGAGAGAAAGGAAAAGTCTTTTTAGTGTGAAAAAAAAAGTTTATTTATTTTTAGTTTCTGACCATTAAAATAAAGTTTTATGTATGTCCATTACATGATAAATAACTTCAGAAGTTTTAAGGTAAAAAATAAAAAAATAGACTTTATTGTTGAGTTTTAATAATATAAGTTTTTGTCGACCCTAAAAGAAAAGAGTGCCGGGACCATATTTTTCATTACCTTCTTTGATTGGCTTGAAATAGGGTCAATTTTCCTTCGTATTTGATGTCTGTTGAATGTTGCCGCAAAGAAATATGGTACAAAAAAGGAATAATTTTTTTTCATTTTCTTGCTGTTTTTATTTTGATGTCACGAATTTTACAAATCGTGTCAGTTCAAAGGACGGACAGGCAAAACACGGTCCTACGAAAACTCGATCCGACCAAATGTCGGTCTCAGTCCAAATTCCCGTATTTGGAACAACTTCCTCGAACAAACATGCAACATCACTCGCGTCGAAAGCACTCCTTTGGACCGTGTTTTGATAAGAACGTGTTGTCTGGACAGAGTTTTTTAAATTTTATTTTATAAAATAAAATAACGCCGTATTTTTCGGTATTTATCGGTATTCCATATCGGTAATACGGTACGGAAAAACTAAAATACTGATACTAACGACCGATAAAATTTTTTTGTTTGATTTTAAGGGATCATGACCTTCCAAAATTAAATTTAAAAAATCAATTTATTAAACGATAATTATTTTAAACGATAATTATTAAGCACTCCTTTGGATCGTGTTTTGATAAGAACGTGTTTTGTCTGGACAGAGTTTTTTAAATTTTAAAAAACAGAGAGATATCAGACAAATTATTTAAGGGGCATCTTGCCAAAAAATGCGTTGGATATCCCTAGGTATCTCCAACAAATGGCGAGCACGGCAGGATGTGCTCCCGCAAAATATGTTGTCCAACTTTCTGGCATGTCACAATTTCGCAAATGGTCTAGCAGCAAAGGCGTTGGAACATCTGCAGCAGGACAATTAATAGAGAGGAGCCTGTTTATTATTAGAGAGGAGCCTGAAGAAGGGAATGTAAGAACTGTTCGTCAGCGTCGGGTTGTTTGTTTTTTGTTCAACACTTCTTTAAATTGAGTTTTATACCATAAAAATGGTTAAAATACCCTTTTTTAATATTTAACAAAAAGTAGTATAAAAGACTAGAAAAATTATTAGAATGTCATACTCTAATCATTTAACAAAACATCTAATATTCTACAAACAACAGCAAATCGGCAACAACAATGAGTGTTCAAGCAATTCCTCAAAGCAATGAAGAAAACGAAGATCTTTGTCATCAGCTCTTGACTGCACGAACTGTGAGTAGCGTCACTGTTGGCTCAGTAGAGAAAGAAGATGGTGATACGAAAGCAGAAGAACAACAAAAACTTCCAAAAGAAGTGTCTCCAACTTCGGAACAGTTTTTCACTCTTCAAAGCAAGCGATTTTCTCCATCTAATCATCCACATCAGCAAAATGCAGTGTAAGAAAAGAATATTAATTAGAGTTATTCTATTTTTCCTCCTTTTTTAGCAAACTTGAAGAACTGCTCTCAGAACTGCAACAGCTTGATTTGGCCGTTAGAGGAGGTGCTTTGTCTAGTGATTTGGCACATGTTCGAGCACTGGTAAATTTTACGTTTATTCCAAAAATTTATTTTTGATTCTTTAGTTGGTCCACGAGATCCACAAATTGCATTCATTGCTTCCGATCTATCTGAAGCGTCGTTATGCCTCTCAAATGCCTTCGACAATGAAACGGATTGTTTGCGTGCCGATAAACAAGAAAGCTTTCCAAGGGACTATTGGACAGACTACAGGCTCGATTCCTGATTTGGAGTCGACGATTGGAGTTCAAGTAGGGGTTTAGTAAAATTGATTTTTCTAATGATCAGATTTCAGTCAACAGACTGTCCACGAACGACTTCTAAATACTTTCTCCCTTTTCAGGCTCGCAAATGGTCTAGCAGCAATGGCGTTGGAACATCTTCAGGCAGGACTATTAACGACAAGTTTATTAGAGAGGAGCCTGAAGAAGGGAATGCAAGAACTGTTCGTCAGCGTCGAGTTGTGACCGAAAACGAAAAGGTTAAAGAAGCAGCAAAAACAGATTCTTCTGCTAGTGCTCGCTTTCGTGGTCGTTCTTTGAATCATCAACAACAGCAGCGTTTGCATCGACGTCTCTGTGCTTCAATTCCTTCACTTTTGGAAGGCACAAAAGTTAGCTACTACACTGACCACAGTTGTGGGTCTGCTTGTTCTCTAATGGCTGTTGGATGTGGCGGTGGTGGTAGTGGTGGATTCAACAATAAAGGCTATATGTATCCATATAGATGTGATTATGCTCAACATGTGGTAAAGTTTTAAATTTTATAAATTGAATTTTTAATTTTTAGCGCTTCGAAAACGACCAATATATTATGCAAGAGCGAATCTATTTGCCTGAAAATCCAAGTTTCAAAATTATTGGACGAATTCTCGGACCTCGTGGCAATTCTTTGCGTCAATTGGAAGCTGAGACTCGCTGTCGAATTGTGATTCGTGGGAAGGGTTCTGTTAAGGTGCTGAGAAAATCATTTCCTCGTTTATTAAAACTTTAAAAAATCATTTCAATTTTAGGATAAGAACAAGGAAAGGCGTTTGCGAGGGCTTCCTGGTTGGGAACATCTGAACGAGTCTTTGCATGTGATGATTACTGCACAACATCCGGATCAGTTTTCGTGTTCTCATTTGCTTCATTATGGTAATTTTAGAGAAATTTCTTTTGATTTCCTTTTAATTTTTGTAGCCGTTCATTGCATCAAAAATTTGTTGACGCCGCGATTCGATGCTTACAAACGTGAACAATTGTTGCAATTGGCTATAATAAATGGTACCTACCAACCTAGGCCTTGAATGAAAATGGAAAACAAGAAGGAAATAAATTGAGGAAATAAAAAATAAATAATGTAAATAAATAAATTAGTATTTCCTCTTTTTTCTCTAATTATTCTCTAAATACTCTCTAAATATTATATTTGTAAAAAATAATAATAATTCTTCAGTCGAATCTCGATATAAGGAACTTGAAGGGAATGGACAAAAAATACGGGTCACTATATCGAGTATCGACTGTATACCTTAAATTTTCTTATTGGCTATTTACTATATATCGTTTGTATGTTAATGTAAATATTGATAAATAAATATAGAAATTTGGATATTTTATTGTTAATTGATTCTCGATATATATTTTAATTAATAAATACAAGTAATTAAGTCAAAGGGAATAATAATTATAAATATTTGAACTCTTTGAAATTGAAGGGGGGAGTGATGAATTGAAAGCTAGATTGCTTATTTCGAAATTGAGTGGCCCCGAATATTCTAAAATTGACCAGATTGCCACCTAAATTGTACATTTTTTATGCACACTTTATTTTATTTTTTTCGTTTATTTGACTTCAAATTTTTTAAGAACAAACATTCGAACATTTATACATATTAATATTAATTATATTAATACCATAAATACATATTAAAAAATTATTTTTAACCGTTTTCTATAGTATAAAACTCAATTTAAAGAAAAGTTTTAAACAAAACAAATATCAAAATGTTTATTTTTAAATTAAATACACAAATAAACAAAAATATTTGACTAGAAAGTCTATTTTGAACGTTTAGACTTTGTCTGCGACTTTCCAGGATTTCTTGTTTTTGTTGCAGAATTTGGACGAGATTCTGATTTAATAATTGTTTCTAAAATTTTTTAAAATTTTTCAGATTTTTCTTTAAATTAAAAATTACCTTCTTCCACGAGATCAATTTCTGGAACTACAGGCACAAACCAGAGTGATTTTCCGTTCTCCAAATCTGTAGAAAAATCCTCCAATTCCTCTTCATCTGATGACTGAAGGTAATCTGGTGCTTCTATTGTTGTTACATCCAATATTTCCATTTCTTCCTCTTCCTGGAAACAAAAAAAAAGTTAAACAATAAATTCTAGACTTCCAAAAAAATTAAATAAAAAAGCTAGAAAGATAAACATTACCCTTTTTCAATTTTAATAACTTTCACCTTTTTCTCATTTTCCATTCCATTATCACTAGCATCTTCATCAAAAGTGTCAAATTCCCCTTCTTTTTCAACATATTTTAAATTTTCTTCCAATTCTGTAAAATCAGGCGCAAAAGCACTCCAATTTTCAACATGTGCCTTTAAATCAAAATTTAACAAATTTTTTAAATTAAAAAACCAACTTGTGTCCAAACAGTTACAGAACCTGTTCCAGCAGAAACAGAAATAATTACAGGTTTATTTGGATGCCATTGAACATCAGAAAGTAATTCTCCTTTATGTCCGTGCAATATTTTAACTAAAGCCCCGGTGCTTCGCTCCCAAATATTTAATGAATGGCTTTTACTGCTTCCACCACAAATATAGTCCCCATCTCCAGAAGTACAAATACATTTCCAAAGAGTCTAAAAAATTATTAATGAACGTTAAATGCTTAAACAAGTTTAAATTAACTCATTTCAAAAAAGGCTAATTTTTCTGATACAATGAAAAAAACTACCTGTAGGTAATCTAGAATACCTACAAAATTTAAACTAACATTTTGTGATAAAAGAATTATAATTAAAAAAAAACTAAAATTCCCGTTTTTAAGACGACCTTACAATTGGATTAAGGAATTCCCGGAAATTGTTTAGATAATAAAATATATATTAAAATCAAAATTCCAAACCTTATTAACAATATCCTGAAAACGCTGTATTGGTTGAAGTGTACTTCCTTGCTTAATATTTAACAAATCCTGAAGTCGATAACAGCGAATGACACGATCTTGTGAATTTGTTATAATATAATCATTACGTCTTGAGAATGAAAAGCTTTTAATCTAAATTTGAAGAAAAAAAAATAATAATTTTAAGAATAAAAGAACCTGTTGTTGATTCCCTTGTTGACGACAATGAATAATTGGTTTTAAAGTAGCTGAATCATAAACAATTATCTGACCCTGTAAGAATAAATTTGGAGAAAATAGGCATAATTCTCCTTGTTAATAGAGGCTTTTTAAATAAGGTTATAAAGCCAAGAGTGAACGAAAATGGGGAGAAAAGAATAATTATTATAAAACTTTACATGCCAATCAAGGGCAAATTAACTCTTTTATAAAATATTGCCCTTTTATGTGAGAGAATATCCTCTTGTATGAAAAGTAAAAACATGCCTTCGTGCTCCCTGTAATAATAAAATTTCCACGACGATCAAATATAGCAGTGGAGATTGGCTCATCTGCAGCCTCAGACTTGCTTCCAATTGGCGCAAGCCTTGTTTCCTGTCCAGTAAGTAAATTTTTAACAACTGGAGATGAACAAACACTCGAATTTAGAAGAATAAGATAAACGAGGATTTGATTTTCGTTTCTTAAATTTTTATTGTTATTAAACTAAAATTTAGAAAGAAAACCTTGGATTAAATAATGCATATTGAGTTGTTGATCCAACTCCAAAACTAAGTCGATGAAGAGGCTGTGTAGTATTCAAAACATCCCAGACAGACACAGAACCATCAACACTAGAAGAAAGTAAACGTTTGCCATTACGCGACCAAGATAATGAAATTATTGGTTTTACATGTCCATTCCATGCCTGTTATATTTAAATATGAAAAGAATAAAAATGTGTTTTAGCGGGAGCTGGAGAGCGGGTAAAATTAAAGAGAACTTCTTGCTATTTTTTAAGTGTCATTAAAGTAAATTATGTACCTAGTAATTTGTTCAAACCATCAGTGAAAATATTTTTCATTGGTTTTCTTATTGTTAGATTTGTGGGATATTTTTCTAACATTAAAAATAATGTAACAATTTGAAAAAATTATGGACAACAACACCGCCAATAGGTGAAAGTGCCGTTTGTGCCCGGTTAGACACGATTCAGCGCGCACGATTCAGCGCACACGTTTCAGCGCACACGATTCAGCGCACACGATTCAGCGCACACGGTTCAGCGCCAGTTATAGAAGGCACGTTTCAGCGCCCATCATTCGGAATACTGAGGGGCTTTCGGTCCTGGGGTGAAGCTGGGATGAGATGATTTTTTCCCCCTTTAAACCTCAATATCCTCCTTAATCCAAGGGCGTAGCCAGGGGTCGGTTTCAAAGAGGGCTAACGTTGGGTGTCGCCAAAATTTTGGCTTTGCCCTTTGATGTCGCTAATATCCCATTAATCCACCCAAATCCTCTGAAATAATATATCTCATTGATTTTCCACCCGTATAAATTCCCCAAAATTCTTTGAATTTTCCATAGATTTTTCGAAATTATATGTGATTGTGCTGAAGTTGACTGAGATCGTGTCAAAATAACAAAAAATAAACCAAAAATTTGACCTATGGGACCTAAAAATTGTCTCGAGTTTTGTATTATTTTTGGTCTTGGAGTTTTGGTCTTGGTCTTGAGTCTTGGTCTTGGAAAAAATATTGTCTTGGGTCTTGAGTCTTGGAAAAATTTTGGTCTCGGACAGCTCTATTATATAGTAGTATGTATATATAGTAAAAAGTTCTTTTATTATTAACTATTAACTAACAGTTGTAGTATATATAGTAAAAAAGTTCTTTTACTATTAACTACACTGCTCCACATAACTATAACCTCACCCTAAATTTTCAAATTTCTTAACTTCTACCGAATCAATCGGGCTGATTTTTATTTTATAGTAATTAAAGCAGGTGACATTTCATATAAACCCGAAAAATCTAAAAAATCTTTGTTCAAAAATTTTTTATCCAATTTTTTCAAAAAATACCCTCCACATAACTATAACCTCACCTTCAGAAATCATATTAGGAATGCTCGAAAAATTCTACAAAAATTCGTGCAAACATTTTCATTGATAATAAGTGAAAAATAAAAAAGAACGAAGTCTGTAAGTGTTTTTTTCATCGAGATCCAAAATCTCAAAAATCAACGGGAAATGGGGGGTACAGTACTTAAAAAATATTTTCACAAGTGTAGACTGTAGATAAAATTTTTTATCATAGTCCATCTGAAAGCCAATAAAATTTACTACAAAAAACACTTAGTACTATCATTGACAAAAATTCTACTTTCGAGGAGTCTCGGGTTAAAAGAGATGGCGAATAAATTCAGCCAAATCCCCCATAAAATGTCATTATTTCGAGTTTCCAAATTTAACCGATTGCTCCTCAGTGATAAAATTTTTCTCAATGATAGTACTAAGTGTTTTTTGTAGTAAATTTTATTGGCTTTCAGATGGACTATGATAAAAAATTTTATCTACAGTCTACACTTGTGAAAATATTTTTTAAGTACTGTACCCCCCATTTCCCGTTGATTTTTGAGATTTTGGATCTCGATGAAAAAAACACTTACAGACTTCGTTCTTTTTTATTTTTCACTTATTATCAATGAAAATGTTTGCACGAATTTTTGTAGAATTTTTCGAGCATTCCTAATATGATTTCTGAAGGTGAGGTTATAGTTATGTGGAGGGTGTTTTTTGAAAAAATTGGATAAAAAATTTTTGAACAAAGATTTTTTAGAATTTTCGGGTTTATATGAAATGTCACCTGCTTTAATTACTATAAAATAAAAATCAGCCCGATTGATTCGGTAGAAGTTAAGAAATTTGAAAATTTAGGGTGAGGTTATAGTTATGTGGAGCAGTGTATTAACTAAAAGTTTGTTAAAAATTGTTAAAAATGTTTTTGTTAAAAATGTTTATTTTGTTAATTTTCAGTCGCATTTGTTTATTTTTTGCTCATTTTTGATTATATTTAATAAAATTGATTATATTTAATTGAGTTGACGCTTTTTTTTAAGTTTAAATTTACTTTTTAAGTGTTTTTCAGTGTTTCGAATAATGGGCGCTGAAACGTGCCTTCTATAACTGGCGCTGAACCGTGTGCGCTGAATCGTGTGCGCTGAATCGTGGTGGTGCTGAATCGTGTGCGCTGAATCGTGTGCGCTGAATCGTGCGCGCTGAATCATACCCCACCGGTTTGTGCCCCCTTTTTTCTCATTTTTCATCTACTTAAAAAATAAAAGAGAAGGGAGCTATTTCGATATTTTTAGTATTTGCCAATTAGGTAATCAAGTATGCAGTCATGAGTGCAAATATGATGCCAGATTTTATCGAGCTCGAAGGGACGTGACAGTTTTTTAATTTCTAAATATAATTTGGCCGAATTTAGGGTGTGAGATTCGAAACAAATAAAATCTGGCCTCATCCTCGACTCAACATACTCGATCAACTACTGGCAAACCTCAAAATATCGAAAAGCTTCTTTCTTTTATTTTCTGGGAGATGAAAATGAGAAAAAGGTACTTTTACCAAAAAATATTAACTTAATGTAAAAATAAAACCTTAACAACACCTTTTGTTACAAATTCGTAAATAAAAATTCTTCCATCAGTACTCCCAACAGCAATTAAAGTTCCAAGCCTATTAAATTTACAAACAGTTGCAGCGGCCCCATTGCTGTCTAATGTACAATCTCTTTCTTCTGGATATGAATTTGAAAAATGTTTTTGAAATAGATCGAAGCCATTCATTATACAAATATTAAAATATGTTGATAAATCTGTTAAGAAAAATTTTGAATATATTAAAAAGAAACTAAAAAATTAAATAAATCGAAAAAAGCCGAAAAACGGAAAACAAACAATTAACATTTTTTCCACTTTTGACGTCCTAAACAAAAAAGATCCTTCTGACCCTTTTTAAACATTTTATTCTTCTTACCATTTCAAATAACGGGAGAGAAAAAGAGAAACAAAATAGTATATAAAATAAAAATAATTTTGGCACACTTAAATTTATTTTTTGGCATAACGATTTTGCAATTAATGTGAGAATATTTGTCCCTCTGGAAAAAAATTTTTAATTTGCTAATTGTAATTTTTCTCAAAATTTTAGTTAAAAATATGAATTCGATTATTGGATATAATAAATTTCGATTTGTTGCGACAGCGGGGCGGAATCTGATCAGCCGTGCTGCTTATTCTGGACTTGGAAGAGAAGAAATTATGTGGAATTGGCCTCCAGAGAGTTTGAAAATATTTTTAAATAAATAACTTTCTTTTTGTTTTTTAGAGTTCGACAATCATTTTATTGATTATTTGAGTCGTCCAGAGATTGATGGGTGGGAAGTTCGTAAAGGTTTGGGTTTTTTGATAGACAATTACTGTTCGGGTATTGTGACTTATAAGGGTTTTTATTAGCTTGACCGATTTGGTTGATTGAGGTGTCATTCGAAAGAGCACCCCCTCTCCTTGGGGTACACCCATTGGAACAACATCCCCCACCAAAATAATAAAAATTTTTGGTGGCGGTAAAGTCTCGCTGTAAAGTAGGCGGTGATAAAGTGGTTTGCTCCCCCTCTCCTTCATTTATTTTCATGTTATTATTTTTGGATCTCAAAACATAGTTTGAGTTCAAAACAGTTGAAACCCTTTTTTATCGTATTAACCCTGATGATGATTGCCATATCCTTTCCCATCGTTTCCTTTTCTAATAAGAAATGTATTAAATTTATTTTTAAGCTTTTACTGAACTTTTCAATTTTGACGTTATTCCTGACCCAAAAATCGTTACTGCTGGATTGCGTGCTTGTCGTCGTGTGAATGATCTCTCTCTTGCTGTTCGCTTTCTTGAGAATGTTAAACTTAAATGTGGAAGTGGAAAAACTCGGAAATTAGTTTACCCGTATATTATTCAAGAGGTTTTTAAATTATTTTTTTTTCTAATTTGGGTACCTAAATAGGGTTACTTTGACCATTTTGAGCTTGCAAATAAATTGTGGGTATAGTTAAAGTAGATAAGTTTCTGTGGAAAATCTGTCCAACTCTGAATTGTTGATTGATGTTTCTTAAATTGTTTTAAAAATTATTTTTAGGTGCAACCTGTTCTTGATGAATTGGGTATTCCTACTCCTGAGGATTTGGGTTATGACAAGCCAGAATATTTCCATCCGGCTTCAGAAGAGTATTGGGAGAAAAAGTGGTAAGTGTTATAAAAGCTATTAATTAGATAAGACTTTTTTTGGAAAATTATGTGATGAGTTTTTTGACTTTACATAACTGAGGTTGAATTTAACTATATAAATTAGGAAGGGATTTCTTCATTTTGAGTAATTTTCCGTTAATTTTAGATAAAGGATTTCATGAAAGTGTTTTTCCAAAATTAAAAAAAAAAAATAAAAAAATTTAGGTACAAGGATTACGGCTACACTAAAATGCCTGGTTACGAACATTTTGGATAAAGATTGTAGTAGAGAGGTAATATAAAATATAAGAAAAGGAATAGTTTGGAGGAATATTTTTAGGGATAATATTTTTGTGTAAAATTTAAAGTTTCTTTTAAAGTAAAAATATTTTGAGAGAAAATAAATAAATTGTTGATTTTTGTTTTTATTTAAAATACAAAAAAGAAAATTATATTTTAATTAGAAAAAGAAAAGTTTCTCTTTTTATTTTTAATTCTCTCTTTTCTGGCCTTTTCCTTTTTTAACGTTGTTGTGGATTGATTGGAGCAGTGAAAGCTTCAGCAGTTAATGTTCTGTTACTAAAAATTAATTTTTATTTATTTTTTAAAGAAAATTTAAAAATAAGGGGAAAAGATTATTTTTAAAAAGGAAAATTTGTTAAAGAAAAGTATTCATTACTCTCCGCTTTTTCCACCAAAACGTTCTCCACTGTCCATTGTTAATGACCCAGCACCAAGTCCAAAGCCAACACCCTTAAAAGTTTTTTGTTAAGTTTTTAAAGGAATTGTTAGTGTTTAGAAATACAAAGTATTGGGAGCGACTTGCTGGGAGAGACTTGGGATATGTTGGAGTTGAAAGTTAGGAGATGAGATTTTGTTCCTCTCTCATATCTTCTAAACTAATTCGAGTTGGAATGAAAGGAAATTTAAATAATTTTGGGTAAGACTAACTAGAAAAAATACTCCGCATCAAACCGAAATTAAAAGGTAATAGAGGGAGACTATGATTAAGGACTATGTAGTTTTCCCTTCGTTGATGCCCCAGAAAACAAGTACTTAGATTTTCTATTTTTAAACCTTCGGTCCAAATTTACGTCCATGACATTGTTTGCAAAAAAGTTCAGCTTCGTGAGGACAAGCATTTGTTGAATCAAGTAATTTGTTGCACATTCCTTATAGAGGGAAAAGGTTATTTTGGATAGAAAATTGTAAAAATTAAAAGGAATTGTTAAGGATTATTTTTGGTAAGAACACGGAGAAACATGTTTCTCATTTAAATTGAAGTATTCTCTCCCTTCTGAGAATTTTCTTTTAAATGAAAGCATGCTTCTTCAAATAACAAGAAAAAAGCATTTATTTCTTTACGTCATTTCCACTTCTCGATTTCCAAATCGTTCCCCCATATCCATCGTTAAAACACCTCCTCCTACACCAAACCCAACACCTTTCGGGCCATATTTTCTCCCATGGCATTTGCAACAAAATAATTGGGCTTCATGTGGAGAGACGTTTGTAGAGTCCAATGCTTTATTACAAAGCTCTAAAAACCGGCAGGAGGACCAAATGAGAAAATTTTTTAAACAATTTTTTTAGAATTTGTTACTGTATATAGAGCAATTTTGTTCAAAATTTGTGAAAAAGGTAGCGAGACTGGGCAAACTCAGATTTAAAAAATTGGAAGGTTGGAATCACAAAAAAAGGACACGAAGGCAGGAATACCCCTCCCTATTCTCCTCCTCTTCCAACTATTCTTCAGTCTTTTAATTTATTCATAAATTTAATTCTCACCACATTTGAAGCAAAATTTATGCCAATCATCTAAAAATATTTAAAATATTTTTATATAATCTACTAAAATACATCCTCCAGCAACCATTTTCTCTGCTGCGTAAACTGACTTTCCACATTTTGGACATTTTGATTGGACGGGAGGTTTAAATCCTGGCATTTTTAGAAATCTCTAAAATATTTAAATTATTTAGTTCCATTAAACTTGGAGACTGGGACAAAGGGGAAATATATTTAGTAAATTAACTCGTATTAAAGGACCTATGGAATAAAATTTGAAGTTCTAAAATTTGTTTACTATTAGTGATTTTTAAATATTTTGTGGTTGATATTTATGTGAAAACAAGAGGAGAGCTTTTATTGTGTAAAGAAAGAAAGGAACTGTCTCTTCTCCCTACACTTTTTACTTTAGCTGACAACGGCTGTTTTTGTGTTTTTAAGTGACGAAAATTTTTATAAAATCAACGAAAGCATTCGATTGGATATGTGAATAGAAAGGAAAAAAATATTTTTTAGAAGAGCTTCTGTTCAGTTTTTGTTTAGACTAGTCACATTAAATGTAGTTGAGGAGAGGGAAGTTTAAAGAGGGATTATTAGCTCAGATAATTTGGATAAAATAATTAAATTTGGGGTCTATACGGAAATCATGCCGGCTTTCTTTATTTTTTTGGACTGGTCACTAGTTTTTAATGTTTGTGATCCAAGGCTATATTTTTTCACAAATGTTTTTCACAATCACAAACATTAAAAACTTAAGAAAGATGACAATTCCGAGCCAGTCCAAAAAAGTAAATTTTATAAGAATATTTTTTGATGTAAAATTGCTTGGAATATATTTATCGTTTATGTAGTTAAAGTATTATCATGTTCTCTCCAAGAAATCATGCTGGGATATATAAAAAATTGAAAGTAATAACTAAGGCTGTGATTTATAGGCAAATGCCTATTTTTTCTGCAAGCTTGGGATGATGTAATACGTTCAAAAAACGTGTTTTTAGCTTGGTCCGAAGAGTCTAGCACGACTTTTAATTTGCCTATTTCTGCCTATATTGGAATTTTTGTGCCTTCTTGCCTATTTTGAATTTTTTGGTACTATTATTGCCTTTTTAGCGATTTTTTTCAAAATTTTGCCTAAAAATCAGTGCAAAATCTAAAAAAATCAGTCCAAAATTGGAAAAAATCAGTGCATAGTCCCATTATTGATTTTTAGTTCGTTAAATTGTTTATTTTTACTTTGTTGGACATTTTGAACTGGGACGATTTAGTTTTGGGACGTTTTGGGGTGCGGCGTTTTGTGTGTTGGACGAGATTTCCATTTTGTCATTTAAAAAAAATTTACTCCATTTTTCAAAAAATGATTCAAAATGTCGTTTAATTGGCATAAGAGTTTAATAAGTAGTTTATAATACAGAAAATGATGAGTAAATGGGTATTTTCTTGCTTTTTTCTTAATTTTATAGGCCTGATAACCTTTTTACATGCCTATTTCTGTGCCTTTTTTGGCTTTTTGGTGCCTAATTTAGGCGCCTATTTCACTGATTTTACTTGCCTAACTATCACAGCTTTAGTAATAACATTTAATTCAATGTATAAAATCTTTATTAAAATAAATGTGTTATTTATTTAAAAAAAAGTCAATTTAAACATTAACACAAATTTTTATATGAATCATTTTAATTTCATTCCTCTCTCAATTTTTTATAACAAATTTTTATAAAGTTGAAAAAATTTCTTTTTTTTTTGTTTAAACACAAAAAATTAAGTAAAGATTTGTTTGTCTTTTAATTTATTAATTTAACTGACAACATTAATACTTCAGAAAAAAATTTTGGATTCTTGTATTTTTTGACAATAAAGAAATTGAAATTAAATCAAAAATTGAAGCTAACTTTTTAAATTTCCTACATTTTATTGGGTTTTATCATTAAATTATAAAGTTTCTATTAAAGTTTCTTCTTATTCCCAAAATTTTTTACCTTTAATTAATCATTGTAAAATAAATATATTTTATTTAATTATTTTATTTTTATCTTTTCATATTTGGAATTTAAAATTTGTCCGGAAGTTTGTCCGGAAATGATATGAATATTAACAAAAATAGGTGTAAATTGGTTTCATCTTATCATATTTTTCTAAAATTTTTAACCAATATTTTTGCTAGCATTTTTAGTTAATGTTTATTCAAAGGTGGAAAGTTTTTAGTATATTTAGTATACTTTTGCACCTTACTGTATCAAAAGTTTTTTGAAAATTGGGTGTCCGGAAATGATATGACCACCTTTGATAATTTTATTTAATTAATTTTTATTTTCAAGAGTCAGAGATCATCAATAAGAAGTGTATATCGAGATTAATTTTTAAAAACGGAAATGGCACACCCCTATAACCACAAACTCCAACCAAGAAAAGGAAAATATAAATAAAACAGGCAAATATGTATTCCCTCTCTCTTTGTCTATATTTTATTGATTTGTCTTAACAATTTTTATTCTTTATAAAATTTAAAATAAAATGAGCGCAAATATTGAAAATAAAAAATTTAAAAATAATTACAATATTCATTCAACAAAGGATTCTTTATTAAGCAAAAATTCTGAATGGACGGATTTTAGTGGAATTCGAAATTATTTTATATTTTTGGTGGTAAGAAATTAAAATATTTTTGAAGGAAAGGAAGAGAAGGATATTGAGAATCAAAAAACTTTTGTGTATATCCTTTACTAATTTTTAAAAGCTTTGTCTTATATCCATTACACCTTACCTCCTCCTGCATAGCTTTATATGGATTAATTCTTTACATAATCTACATCAAATTTAATAATTTTTCTGTGGTAGAATTTTTTTAATTTTTTATGGTTACACGCAACTAAGAACCTTACTTGAAGGTTCTTCTAAAAAAAGTTATATTTTACTCCATATAATTTTCTGAATTTCCTTTAATTATTCCATTTTTACCTATAAACTTTTATAATTAATTAGATTATTCTAATTCTTCAAAATATTTTGGAAAGTTCACTCAATTATGGAATAGTAGACACACTTCAATATATTTATATTAGTTTATGGAATACTTCAATTCAGGCCAAAGACAGTTTTCTGCTTCTGTTAAGCTCTAATTTAACAATTTTTAGTGTTTACTTTTTGGAGCTTTTCCTTTGTAAATTTTGATAATTTTATAATAAAAAATTGAAATTTAAAAGATTTGGGGCTATAGTAAATTAATCTTAATTAAGTGTTGATTCTCAACGTTAAAATATCGATGTCCCGTTAGAAAAATAATTTTGAGTCAGCTAATTTCTTGATTCGAAATCTGCTGTCGTCAGGATTTAGACATAAAGTCATCTTGGAAAGGAAATAGACTCTGATCAGGGCGAGCGTATTGCGTTTTTTTCGACAAAAATAACGCAAAAGAAACTTAATCTGGTGGAAAAAGGGAATAAATTTGACTTTAAGGCCATCAAAGATTCTCAAAATTGTCGCCTATGGTGTCAATTTTTAATTTAAAAATAACTAATATTTATTTTTACCCAATTGTCCCATATTTTCCCAATATCCTGATCGAATTCCACAATTATATTTTATTTTCTCATAAAACTTATAAATTTTCTATTTGACTCTTGTCCTCCTACACTAGAGCTAAAAAATCTTTTTTTCTTTTAAAGCAAAGAAATGGATACCGTTTAAATTAGCTATTTTACTTTATTTGGTGGTTTTGGTTATACATTTACTTTTGCCTGTTTTTGTATTATTTAAAACAAAAGTAATTCCAGCTTTAGTATTTGAGTAATTTTAAAAATAATTTTAGGACAATTTCTTTTTTGTGACTTTTTCGGTGGCCTGTTTAGTTACTGAAGGAATGAAATTATTCTCTTATGCTCACGTCAATTATTGTTGTCGGCACTTGTTATTAGCTAGAGAGAATAAATGTAAAGATTTGAAAAATAAAAGGGGATAAATGGAATCCCCTAAATAATTTTGTTTATTTCGAAGAAAATGTTTGGATAAATTTAGACATAAAGTAATGACCAAGCTTGGTAATGGATATGGATACAGATAAGTTCAAAATGCCTGCGGATATCCGTCTGTAACCGCCATGAATATCCGGATACGGATACCAAAATCCATGTCCATTACCAAGTCTGGCAATAACGATTCTTAATGAACGTTTCCTCGAAATGATTGTTGATAAAGTTATCAGTCATTAAAAAACAGGTGATGATAAATTACTAGCTGAAGAGGATATTCAAGATGACCGTGTAAAGGAGAAATTGCCTGAAAAAGAAGAAGAAAATGTTAACGAAAATATTTGTAACAACAAAAACAAAGAAATTACAGAAGACGAATCTCCACAGGACAACAATACTGTCACTAACCCAATTCCGATAGACAACAAATTATCACCATTTATTTTGAAAATTTCAGAAGAACATTTAAAATTATATCCACAGAATTTAACTATCAAGAATTTGTATTATTTCATTATGGCGCCAACTCTTTGTTATGAATTGGAATATCCTGTTATTCCAAAGAGGCGTTGGTCTTTAATTTTTAATCATTTAATTGAGGTGAGGTTTCTCGAGACATATGGGTCTTGATTTTGACATACCTAGTGTTTAAACATTCTTATAAATCAGCCTAAACAAAAAAGAGATTGCCAGATATTCTCCAGTTAAATAATGTCCTCCTTCCCTTTCTGAAACTATACCATCAACTAATTGATGGTAAACCTTTAAATGGATGTAAAACACTATTTTTCCCATAATACAATGTGGAAGAAATTATTTGTTGGTTAAAACTTATTAACTTTTACGAGCATAATTAGTACAATAATTCTAAACCTAATTTATCTAATTTACCTACTTAGTTTATTTCTCTTGTTTACGTCATGATTGCTTTACATAAGTATTCTAATCCAATATTGGCAAAAATGGAAAAACAGAATCAATTTTTAACACTTATTCAATTATGTATTCCAACGGCTGTTATTTATTTGATTGGATTTTATATTTATTTTCATGCATATTTGAATTTGCTTGGTGAAATAATGAAATTCTCTGACAGGGAATTTTACGGGTAATTTTTGTTTTTGAATTGGGAAATTTAATTGGAAGGAATTTAATTGGAAAGGAATTCTTTTCCAAAATTTACTTGTCGATAAGTAAACTATAACCGTTAATTACATAATTGTTAAGGAAATATATCCGCAAGTCATTTTTGTTCATGCTAGATATAAATAAAAGTAATCGCTTTAGTAGCTCAGTCCTAGATCGGACCTGCTAGAAGTTCGCAGGTCTAATTTCTGCCTTGTTAGCCTCGTATTGATAAGAATGTAGAAAAAGGAAGCAGGCAATATCGAATTTCTTCAGGTTTGGTATGGATCAACAAAATTCTATCCAAAATTATATATTAGTGTTATCTCTTGGCAACACTTAAAAATATAGAAGAGAGCACTTTTTCCCTTATTTTCTTATTATTTTTACTCTTTTCAATTCAATTTTCAGTCCCGTTTGGAATTCTAATTCAATATTAGATTATTGGAGAAATTGGAATAAAAGATTTACTCAATGGAGTAAAAGGCATCTTTATATACCTTTAATTAAATTAGGCTGGACAAAATTTTGGGCACAAGAAGTAGTCTTTGTACTTTCTGATTTGTTTCACGCTTATGCAGTTAAGTGATTAGTTTTCGATAGATTTGACATTTACTTAATGTACAAACCTATCTAATATAAAAATACTTTTCAGTATTATTTTGCATTTAAAAAAGTTCTTATTGGGGGAATGATGACACAGCCATTATTTGGAAGGTTATTAGAGCGAATTATTGGGGTATTTAATGTTTTTAGAAATTTTTAAAAAGAATATTTTCTTTAATTTAAGCGTGGACGTTGTGGAAATTTCCTTTTCTGGTTTTATATTATTTTCACTCATGCAGGAGCGAGTATTTTTCTATATGAACATCTAAAAAATAAACTGTCATAAATGAAAATAAGAATTAAAGGGTTCGATACACAGGAGGGTGGACTTAATAAAATGTCCAAAAATGTTACGGCTTAGTACATTAATAAATATGTATTTACTATCCAACACACATTCTGTCCCCCATTTTTAAATTTTTAAAATAAATTTTTGGAATTTTACGAATTGAAGAGATTTTTGTTTTTTAAATTTATTTTCTTTAATCATAAATAAATAAATAAATATTTTTATGTGTTGTTTTATTTAAATGTTAATACAAAAATGTGTATGTATGAGTCATTTTATTCTCATTTTCCTTTTAATTTTTTATTACAAATTTTTATGTCGATGTAAAAAAAGTCTATAAAGATTTTTTTGTTAAATTTATTTTTGTTAAATTTTTCTTGCTCCCGATTTTTATTTTTAAGATTCCATTTAAAAATTTTTTTTCAATTAATAGCTAATCTGACAATTTCTTTTTACATTAATTGATTTTTTAAAATTTTATTTTAAAAATTAATTTTTTTAGAAAAAAATTTCTTTATTTAAATTTTTATATAAAAATGGCAGCCCGGAAGACAGTTACACGTAGAGCTAGACCCCAAAGGGCAACTAGTAATGTTTTTGCAATGTTTGACCAAGCACAAATTCAGGTTTAGTTTTTGGAGTTTTTAAAAGTTTAAACAAAATTTTTTTGAAGGAATTTAAAGAAGCTTTTAATATGATTGACCAAAATCACGATAATTTTATTGATGAGCATGATTTGAAGGATATGTTTGCCTCTTTGGGGAAGGATGTTAGCGATAAATTTATTGAGGAAATGATTAATGAGGCTTCGGGAACTATTAATTTTACTATGTTTTTGACTCTTTTTGGAGAGAAATTGACTGGGACAGATCCAGAAGAGGTTTTTTTGTTAAATTGATTTTTAAAATTAGGCACGAAACGGAAATGAATGGTACCGTGTTATAATACCAAAAGCTTGAAATACCATCACTTGAAATACCAAAAATTGTAATACCAAAAGCTTAAAATACCAAACCCCCAAAAGCTGTTAAAATACCAAACCGTAGAAAAAAGCTTAAAATACCAAACCCCCAAATACTGTTGAAATATCAAAGTGTTGTTCCAATGTCATGGGATGATGACTCAGCGACGGGGGATGTTGTTCCAGCGATGGGGAAGGTTGTTCCCGCGACGGGGGATGTTGTTCCAGCGATGGGGAAGGTTGTTCCCGCGACGGGGAAGGTTGTTCCCGCGACGGGCAATGTTGTTCCAGCGACGGGGAAGGTTGTTCCAGCGATGGGGAAGGTTGTTCCCGCGACGGGGAAGGTTGTTCCCGCGACGGGCAATGTTGTTCCAGCGACGGGTAAGGTTGTTCCAGCGATGGGGAAGGTTGTTCCCGTGACGGGGAAGGTTGTTCCCGCGACGGGCAATGTTGTTCCAGCGACGGGCAATGTTGTTCCAGCGACGGGCAATGTTGTTCCAGCGACGGGGGATGTTGTTCCAACAGCACATCTGCCATCGTGTAGCGAAGACCATGACCAGCCTAACCTTCGGAGCAGCACAAATACAGTTTTTCCAGCAAAGATTCAATTGGAACAACAACATCTTTGTTGTTGCAAAAACAAAAAAATTTTAATGTTCGAAGCAACAAAGTTTAACAAAAAATTTTAACAGAAATAACAATAAATTTAAGTTTGGTATTTATTTGGTATTTCAAGTCTTTTTCCACGGTTTGGTATTTTAACAGCTTTTGGGGGTTTGGTATTTTAAGCTTTTGGTATTATAACAGACTCCGAAATGAATTTAAGGGTTTTATGTATTCTTTTGTGGAAATTGTATTATTTAGAAGATTGGTCCTTAGGAAAAATGCGCAAGAAGTGCCCTTGTGTATTTTTGAATATCCTGGCATGAGTCTGAATCTGGGTTTAGAAAGTTTAATTCGAATCCCATACCCGACCAATCCCCAATTCTTATATAAATTCCTCGCTAGTCTATATAATTTTTGTTTCCAGAATTTTCATGATGGAAGGGGGTGAAAGTTTCTCTAAAATATTTTTCCATTAATTTTCCATCTTTCGCAAAGAAACAACAATCTTTCTCTAAATCCTTTCTAATAGAATTCTTTTACAATTTTTCCAATTTTGATCCCAAAAGCTTTTCCTTATCTTTTTTTATTTAAAGGTTATAAAAAATGCTTTTCAATGCTTTGACGAGGACAACAGCGGGACTATTTCAGAAGAAAGACTTCGAGAATTGTTAACTACAATGGGGGATCGATATACGGATGAACAGGTTTTTTTTTAGTTTGGAAAGATTTTTTTGGAAAATAAATTTTAGGTTGATGAACTTTTTCGTGATGCTCCAATCAAGAATGGACGTTTTGATTATATGGAATTTACTCGAATGTTGAAACATGGAACTAAGGAGAAGGACGAAGAAAAGGCTAAATAAAGGGATGAGAAGTGTTTAAATAAATAAATAAATAAAGGTTTTTCTTTTTTAAATCATTCCCTCGTTTTGTTAAAGGCACAAATGGAAAATTTGAAAATTATTTTGAAATTCTTTAAGTAGATGTTTGTTATATGTAGTAACAATTTTGCAAAAATATAGAGGAAAAAAGGGGGTCTGTCCGGTTCAATATTACCTAAATCTCCCTTGGAGGGTTTTTCTGGAAATTATTTCTGAGGAACATTTAATTGCAAGTCTAATGGATTTTTTTATTTCAGACATTATATATTTCAATCTAACTGTTGTAAGTCAATATAAATTATTTTTTAAAGTAATTTATCCATGTTAATATACAAGAAAATGTGCCTAAATAATTAAAATGCAATTTCCTTGCTCTCTTATTATAAATTAAATTTTGAAACAAAAATATGTTGAAATCAATTTATTTCTTTTAAATAATTTTGGTTAAATAAATTTTTTGATCTTTTTTGTTAAAATTAGGTAAAGGTGGGGGAAGAGGAGGGGGAGGGGAAGGGATTGAATTAATTAAAGGGTTTTGTGTTAAAATAATATTTTTATTTAAATTATTTTCTTCTTTATTAATTAATAAATAATTTTTTAATAATCCATTTCTTTCAAAAAGTTTAAAATTTGAACCAAAATTTAGAATTGGAGAGCATTTGGAATATCCACATTTAATGTAGAAATTAGCTTTGTCTGTTGTAGAAAGAAAAATCTGAATGAAAAAAAATTATTTTTATTTTAGTTGGGGGGGGCAGTGGAGTTTCTAAAGGAAAATATTTTTTTTAATTATCAAGATCCATTTAGAAAAAACATTCTTATAAATTTCATTATAGGATAGATTTGTGAGTTAAATACTCTGTGGTGTAATGGGAAATGTTTGGATGTCCTAACAAAGTGTAAAAAATCCCATTAATATAAACTACTTATTATGTACATATTTTTATTTTTCAATAATTTTTCCCTCAAAACTTTCAAAAAAACCTCTTTAAATCCAAATTCTTTTGCACACATCTCTATCCCTTCCATTAAAGTTCTTCCAAACCCTTTTCCCCTTAAATTCTTCCAAATAACCACAGATTCAATCCAACACCCATTTTCATTTAGAGGCAAAGGACATAAACGGGCATGCCCAATTAATTTATTTTCTTTTTCGAGTAAAATAATTGATAATGGAGGCTTTTTAATTATTAAATAATTTTAAAAAAAAGAGAAAGATATACTTTATTATTTAATGTTTTTTGAATACTAATCCTTCGAATGTTAATACTTTTAGGCCATTCCTAAATTATTTGATAATAATTTTAATTAAATATTGAAAAATGAGGGGGGGGTACACGATTTTCTTTGTAAATGAATAAATTTTCTTATGTAGAGAGAATACGTATTATACCGTGTTTACTCGATTAATTCCCCCTGCTACGGACGAGTTGAAACAATAATCCGCCTCCCCCAAATACCCTAAAACACATTCAAATTTTAAAACTCGAATAATTCCCCTTCTTTGAATAATTCCCCATGCCATGGATGGGTTGAAAAAATAATTCCCCAGGGGAACTAATCGAGCAAATACGATATGTAAAAATAATTCATAATTGAGCTGAATCCTTTTCACAATAATTCGTTTCACATAAAATCTACTAGAGCATATTTTTTCTCTCAACTACTAGGCAAATTAACAATCCTCCTCCGAAATTTAATTTTACAATTTTAACGGACCTCGTTAAGTAATTCAATACATTCTTCGATAAATTCAGGCATATCAATTAAAGGCACCAACAACATATTTTCTAATTTAATTTTCATTGTCTTTTCTCTTGCATAATTAAAATATTTATGTAATTCATTTATTTTTAAAAATTTTTATTTTAAAATAAAAAAATAAATTGAAAAATTTTAAGTACAAATTCCTTGAAATATTTTATTTTTAAATGAGAAAAATGAGGCGTTTTAACTGCATGCACCTTTTAATAAAAAAATTAAATGAAGGTAATCGTGGTGGTGAAAAGACAACAATTGTTGCGCCCTTTTGGATATATATAAATCTTTGTATGTACCTAATCTTGTCTCTCTCTCTTTATTAAATAAATGAAACATTATTTGAAGTTTTATGTTTTATGTTTAACCAGAATCCAAAAACGAAAAAATATTTTGTTATTTAAACTTTCAGAAATTCTCTAAATTCAAAAAAACACAAAATAACCAGAATCTTGGGTAATAAAAGAAAACAAAAGAGAGAGAGACAAAATCTGGTTTTCGAGTCTAAAATTGTTGAGATAAGGGATTAAAAAGAGATAATTGTAAACAAATTTTTGGCCAAAAATGGAAATCGTTGAATAAAAATAGGGTCCCCAATCCCAGTTTAAAATTAAGTTGAAAAGCACGGTGAAAATGTGGGAGATTCTATATAAAATGAAAATATTTAATAGGTTATTTGAGTCTTTATTTGAATAACTTTTAACAAAGAAATGTTTACATTACAAAAATATTTTTAAGACCCAAATAATCCTCTCATATAAATTTAAGCGATTGGCCAATTCAATTTTTGTCAAAATTTTTTCTCTTTAAAAAATTAGCCAAATTGTCCACCACCATTTGAATTGTTATTCCCTCCGCCTTGCCCTCCAGAGCTCTGTTGTTGTTGTTGTTGTTGTTGTTGGGAAAGTTGTTGATTATATTGTTCAAGAAAATAATGAGGCTGGTACATTCCTAGAGGATTAACCTAAAAATTATAAAGATTTAAGAATCAAGTTACACAGCAGGGAATTCTAACATTCAGGCTAAATCCGATTGTGAACCAAATTAATCGGGGGACGGACTGAAAGACTAAAAAATTTTCAAAAAACTCTAACCGGATTCTCCGTAATATTCGGAAAGGCAGGCTGGCAAAGCGAGTTGTAGTAGAGATCAAGCATTTGCACAGGCGTTCTATTTCCACCTGCACTAGAATTAGCTATAGAACCTCCAGACTGGGAAATACCCCCTAAAATAGAAGCAGAAGTAGCAGCCACTCGTTGAGGAAATCCTTGTGGGAGAAAAGCTTGGGGAAAAGTTCCTGCAGGGGCTAAAATAGATCCGGGCATTGAAGAATTTGGAGCGGAGACATTTGGCTGACCAAAATGGCCTGTATTTCCAACACGTTGTAATACTTGTGCCATTTGAGATGCAAGTGGAGCTTAAAAATAAAAAAATGATTTTTCGAGAAGTGTGTTGTCCTTTGAAAAGATTATAAAAATCATCTCAATCACAGGCTTAAAATACAGCTTAAGCAGTCCCCTTTACAAGGGTCAACCTGATTAAAAAAATGCACACTACAATGTTTTCGTATTATTGGAGGGACTGTACTTGAGAAAAAAACACCAAAAAATAGATTTCCCCATCTAGCTCAAAAAATATAAAAGAAACAAACATTGAAAAGGTGAAAATACTTGATTTTGTGTAATTGCTAAAAAAATAGATTTTTAAAAATAATTTTCTTAATTTATTTACGTTGTGGAGCAATAAGATTAGCTGCTCCCCTATTAGGTGTCGTACTTCGAGAAGCTTCAGGTGTTGCTGTACAAGATTTTAAAGAGGAAGAATCAGCCAAAGATTGTTGTTGAATCCCGCCCTTTACAGAACCGTCTATCGCTTTTTTGGGTCCTTTCTTTTTTGAAGGGGCATATTGAAATTCTGGGTGTTCTTGAAGGACCTTAAAAGGAAACATTTTATTGAAAATTAAATATTTTTAAAATATTAAGGGGGACATTGTAGTCTGAAAAATTCCAAATTTTTCTAACGAAAACCAAAAATGTCTAGGGTCACAATTCCCAAGTAAACTAAAACACTTCCAAAGCTCTAACCCCTTTAAAAAAATTAGTCTCCCTTACCTGTTTGTGTTCCTCAGAATGTTTTTTAGCTTCTTCAAAGAAAGGTTTCTTCTCTTTATCGGTCATTTTCTTCCATCTTTCTCCCATCTGAATCTGACATTTTTTAATTTTTTATACAACACAAACACAAATACACACATTTAAAAATAAAAACAAAAAACTTACCGCTTTGCTAACTTCATTCATTTTCATTTTTGGATCATCTGCCAAAATTCTTTTTCTTTCTTGTCTTGTCCAAATCATATAAGCATTTAATGGACGTTTAATAAATTTATTTTTGGACGTTCCTCCACCCAAAGCGTCATTTTGAGGATGTAATTCTATATTGGCAGAGATATTTGCTAACGAAGAGTGAGATCGCATAGAAGAAAATTCAGCTGGATCATCTCTACAAAATTTTACAGAATTTTAATTAAAAATAATTTTTTGGCTGTGCGCCAAAACTTTTTCAAGAACAAAAAATGCAAAACGCCAAAGTTGACGTTTTTTGTACGTTATAAAAAGCTTTTGGCGCACATCCAAGCAAAAACATTCTTCAAATTTTTAAACAAAAATTCACAAAATTCTTTTTAAATGTACAGTATACATATTAAATTCAAATAAAAAATTTACGAAGAAAGATCGTCATTTCGATGTGGCGAGTGATTATTGTGTTCGCGTGTAGATGCCCTCGATTGGTTATCAATATCTCTCATTGAAGAAGGAGATGCCTGAATTATTTTAATTTGCCAATAATTATCTCGATCAATTTTTTTGACCTTCTAATTTAATTTTTACTTAATTTAATTTATCAAAAAATCACTGGAATTAGAAATTTATTCGTTTCCTTTCCAGACTTTAATGGAAGTAGTCAGTTTGATGACCAAAACTACTCTCTTTTAGACTTCAGGGGGAGGGGAGGGGGGTTACTGATTTTCTTACAAATCATTTAATTTCAACTCACACTTTCATCGCATTGTGAATCGTTGCAAGGACTTGTAACATTATTTTCTGGAGAAAGCATTTTTCAAAAAAAAAGTTTTTTTATTGTAAAAAAGTCTAATAAGCACCAATATTGAGCTATTTAAATTTAGCACCTTTAAATTACAAAAATTTATTATTGTGGCTATTTAATAGTTAAAAAAATAAAAAAAGCTTTTCTTTTCTTTAAAAGAAGTGGCAAAAAAAAAGAAATGAAAGAAAAGAAGATGGCAAAAAGAGGACGACCTGCAATGGACTGATGAAAAAGAAGAAGTAGTTGTGTTTAGTATAAAAAGAAAAGGGATAAACTGAAAAATAAAGAAAAGCAAAGGGAAGTTTAGAAAAAGAAGGCAAAGGGCGACGACCGGGGGCGGATGACGGCCATTTGACAAGACGATGGTAAAATAAGAAAAAAAGAAATAAGCAAAGGGAAGAATGAAAAAAGAGTAGAAAATGTTAGTATCGATTTTGGCGGGGCTGGCGGAGTAAATGGGGAAGAGGCAAAAGAAGTAAAAAGAATTTGAAAAGGAATTGGATTTTTGGGCGCGAGTATATTGGGGCGCAAGTCTTAAAATTGCGACCCCTGTTTATCTGAATATCTACATAATCGTCAGTGATTCCAAATGATTCATAATTTCTAAAATTATGTATGGTTTTTAGCATCTTTTCGAAATCCAAGAAACGGCATCTGTAAAAAATCTACCGTATACTTTTTATTAAGGGCGCATCCAAACATCCTCTGCGCCCAAACAACCTTCACCAAAAAAAAGCATTTGAAAAGGAAGCAGTCAACGAATATATAAAAGAAGAAATAAATAAAGAGAGAGGATATTTCTGACGACCAGCCTTTCTCTTCTTTCATAGAAGAGAGGATGATGGAAGGGGCGAGGGAAAAGAGTGCTCTCCCACTGTTTTGTGTGCAAAAGAGATGTGAAGGATGAATGGCTGTAACTGAGAGAAAAGAAGAAAGAGGGGGGGGGGGACTGTAGTAAAAAAGAAATGTGAAAAAAGGACGGGGTCAGATGCGGAAGAAAAATAAGAAAGAAGATTGGAAAATGGGAAAGAAGAAAATAAAAATAAGGGGGGAAGGGGGTAGCAAAAGGAAGAGAGAAAATCTAGGAATTTAGAAAAAAAAACAAATGAGAGGGACGAAAATATTTTTTAAAAATGTCAAGAAATTGGCTGAAATTAAAATAATTCGAATCTTAAATTTGTTTTTTTCGGCTCGATCCTGAACCTTAAACTTAACTCTCTTCCAACCCTGTTCAATCTCATCATAATTTCCAATTACTCGTTTAAATCGCTGGGAGCAACATCAACGTAGAGAAAATATGCCTAAAGAGAAATTTTAACTGGATCTCATTGAGCTGTGGGGGCGAGTTTATATGGCAAATCATATTTACATATTAATGGGATTCATGAAGTGTGAGATCATCTAAGATAATTTGTGTTTTGGATATTTATTCATTTGGCTAGCTGTCTGTAAAACGCCGACATAAAAATTTAAATAATGTAAAAAATTATTTTATTCAAAATTAAATTAGAGAAGTGTCCTCATAAAAATGAGTCAGCATATTCTTGTAACATGCCATCTATCTTCTTTTTTAACTCGAAATTACGACTCCACCCCAGAATATCGACACCCTAAATATTGAAGCCCAAAATATCGAATGACCCTAAATATCGACACCCAAAATGACGAATTACCCAAAATATCGAAAATTTTTAAACTTCATAATTAAGTATTCCAAGGACGGGGAAGTCTTTTTAACATAGGGAAATTGTTCCAACAATGGAACAAACATCAATCTGATCAATATGTCCAATCAACGAGAGAGTGATCGATCTCCAAGGAGAATCTTGATCGGTCGCTATGGTCAGTTCGATCGAAAACACAATTCCCCGATGTTCGAACATCATTCCCGATCATTGGAATACATAATTATGAAATTTAAAAAATTCGATATTTTGGGTAATTCGTCATTTTGGGTGTCGATATTTTGGGTCATTCGATATTTTGGGTGTCGATATTTAGGGTGTCGATATTTAGGGTGTCGATATTCTGGGGTGATCCCGAAATTATCATTCAGCTTTATTTTGCCTCTTCAATTCTTTCCTTTTTAATTTTACCGGTTTATCTATCTTTTTTCTATAGTAGATGAAGTGAATAATTGTTGTGAGGAAAATTTAAGAGGAATAAGGATTTTTGTGTACGTGTAGTGAAAAATATTTAAATTGTGAATTATTTAAAGTCGTAAAATTGTCATGAATTCTCCAAAAGAATTTAAGAATTTTTGGTTAGTAAATATCTTTGGCAAAAAAGGTTTTTCAACATTAAAAACACTAATTTCAAAAATTTATTAAAAAGAATACTTAAAGGATATTCTCAAAAAAATTTCCATCAATTTTTGTGAATTATTCATACACCCCCAGCAGACGTTCCCGTTCCCCTTCCTCCCATATACAAATTGAAGAAGAGGATATATAAATTCTCTGCTGGTCACTCACTCGCGCTCGATATATCCCCCCCCCCTTTCCTCATTTTTTCTTCAATTTCTCCCATCATTTCTCTAGGTCGCGTCCATAACCTCCCTTCCTCCTTCACCATCCTTCGTCCATATAATACTTCGGTGATGGCGTCCCCCATGTTTTCCCTTCTTTTTTCTCTTCCAATTTTCCAACCTCCTCCTCCTCCCCTAACTACTCCTCATCTTTCTACTTTTCCCCTTTTTATTTGTTTGGCCATTTTCCGAGCAAAAGCGTGCTTTAAACCCAAAACTCATTTATTTTTTCCCTTACAGCAACATTTACATTCTTTCCATGTTTTCACTTTTTTCTTTTATTCTGATCGGCCAATTAATTTTTGTTGTTAATTCTAACCAATTGAGGCATTCATTGGCCAATAAACAATTTATTGACCAATTAACTGAAGGATCCTATGAGGTAATTTAAATTGAAAAATCTAAAAAGGAGAGGGGGGTATTAAAAAGTTATATTTTTTGTTTGTTAAGTAAACCCAGAAGATCATCCTCTGAATTAATAAAAAAATAGGTATGTAAATGAGAAAGTTTAATGGATTAAAATGTTTTTTTTTTAAATTTAAATCGGTCATAAGAAATGTTTGATAACTTCTAGGGTTTATTATTACACAAAAACTACTAATTAAAAATTAAATTCCTCTCCAGATTATCCACCCCTTTCAATTGCGCGAAAAATCAAGAGAAAGAATGGGAATCGATACAAGAGAACATTTTTTAAACATAACACCAATTCAACATTTTCGACAAGTTAGCTTTGTTTTGAGGAGCAGTGTTTTACTTAATCAAAGACTGAGAATAGCTTTAAATTTAAATGAACATTTGTTGGGTGGAGGGGAAAATAATAAACAAAATGAGGTGTTTTTTGGATTGGGGTATACATAGAATATTTGGTTATGTTTTTAGGCACAATTAATTGATAAAACAGCAATACAATCTGAACAAGATTTGGAAGTGATTAGGCTTTCGGATGTTGAGAATTGTTTTTATCAGGTGTTTTTAATTTACAAAGTTTGGAAAACGGGGCGGATTGTGTAAAACTGACTTTTTTCTGAGTTTGTTACGAGATGCAGATAAATAAATATTTTTTACTAACCTTAAATGGATTTCAAGACTTCCATCTTTTATTAAAAACTTTATTCCCGAACATTTCCAGTAACATGATCGATATATTTACATATTCTCTCTTTATTTCACTCAAACAATTTTTCTTTTTTTAAGGGCACAGTTATTGGAGAGCCTGGGTCAATGGTCACTCTGTCAACTTGTGACGGCCTTTGGGGATTGCTGGCATTTGCAAATGGAAGTGCTTTGGGAATTTGGCCGTTAGAAGGGGGAGATAAAGGGAAAAGACATCCTCATGTACTCTTTCGAGTTTTTGGGAGTGGAACAGAATGTGGAAGGGATAGTAGAAATGATATTGAAGGACAACAAAAAGGAAAATTTATCAAAAGAAGACGGAAAAGGACAAAAAAATTTAGAGGGAAGAGGAAAATTGAAGGAGAAGAAAATTTGAGACGTTTAAGGCAACAAAGATTGTTTTTGGATATTGCTTTGCTTGTTAATAAAGAAATGGTAAGGGAGGGGGGGGGGAGGGAATAAATTTGGAATTGAATGGAAATGTGGGAAGAATGAAGTGGGGGGATTTTCTGTGATAAGAAAAAAATATCAAAACTTTTCTTGTTAAAGAGCCAGACATTTTAGTTTTTCTTGTAGAATATCAAATATGTAATTCCTATCATTTTCAACTAAAATTTAAATAAATAACCCATCATTTTTACAGCAATATTTATTCAATATTGGCCAACCAAAATTATTAGAATATTCATTAAATGCTTTAAATATTGCCGATTTAATATTTAAAAGAGGATTAAATATTCGAATTTCTCTAAATTATTTTGCTTTAATTGAGAATTTAAATAAAAATAATTCCAATCAATTACTCGATGATTTACTTGATTTTACAATTAATAAATTATATAAAGAAGAGAAAGATGTAACAATATATTTAACTAATTTAAATAAACAACAAAATAATAATGCTTTAAATGTAGATAATAGTGTTTGTAGTGGGAGGGCTGTTGGCTTTACACAGGTAAAGTTTTATCAGGATATAACTCATCTCATTGGTCTATGATACTTTCCTTTGCACGTCGATTTAGTCCATTCTCAATGATATATCGAGATTTTACTTTATTTGAAAGACTAAGGAAACCTTCAAATAATTAATTTGAATCTAATTGAATCTCATTTTGTTTATTGACAGCTGCAAAAATTTTTTTATCTAGATATAGGTGGGGGTGGCAAAAAGGATTTTTTCCTTTTTTTAACCAGAAAAAAATTCTGTTTTTAAATTATTAGAAACACATTTTTCTATTAAATTATTTAAATTTTTCCTTAAGATATTTAATTTATATGGACCACAAACAGCAGCATTATCAATTGCTCATTCTTTGGGTCATATACTTGGTTTAGAACATGATTTGGCTGAATGTGGTTGTGATATGGAAGAGTGTGTTATGAGTGGTAGTAAAGGGTAAATTTGTGTCAAAAATATTTTTTTTTTAATTTTTTTAAAAATTTTTCAGTCAATTTGATCATTTTCCTTGGCATTTTTCTGCTTGTTCTTCAGCTAGACTTGAAAGAAAACGTTCTGCTGACCCAAAAATGGAATGCCTTTTAAAATCTAATAATTTATTTTCACAATTTTCTCCGTCTTTTCTTTGTGGAAATGGACAAGTAGATCAAGGAGAGGAATGTGATTGTGGAAGGCGGGATCAATGTACTGACCCTTGTTGTGATCCTTTTACTTGTAGACTGCGGCCACACGCTAATTGTGCTGGTAAATAAATAAATAAATGTTTTTTTTTGTATAAATTAAACTCTCAAAAAGCTATTTTTAGTTGAAATTTATTTTTTATTTTCTGACAATTTATTTAGATAATATATTCTTTTAAGTTTTGTTTTATTTTTTAAAATCTGCAAATTGACATTAAAAAATAAGAATCCATGTTTGTGGGTATTAAAATATTTTTTTGTAATTTAGAAATAGTTAACGCTTGTTTGACAAAAACGTAAAATTCCTTTTTATTTTTTACACGCAAAATTGGTTAATTTTTATATTTTTTTCCAATTTAAAAATTTAAACTAAAATTCGAGTATTTTACAAACTTAAAAAAAGGATTTTAAATTTAATTAACTAAAATGCAAGATTTTCTTTCTTTTAAATTTAGCACACGAGGAATGTTGCCATCGTTGTCATGTTCGTCCATCCGGACATTTATGTCGACCAACTCGTTCAATTTGTGATGTAGCGGAAAGGTGTGATGGAAAAAGTGGGGAATGCCCGCCAGATAGTCATTTACTCGATGGGACACAATGTGGATTGGGAAATAATGGGCAATGTTGGCAGGGGGATTGTGTGGATAGTGATGAACAATGTAGAGAAATTTGGGGAAAAGGTTCGAGTATTTGTTCTGGGCTAGTTGAGGAACTTCATTTTTAGATACCCTCTTTGGAGCTGAAAAATAAGGAGTAAATAGAGGAATATTTTGGGGATATCTAAAAATGAGGGTTGACTGTATAAAACTAGATAAAGTGTTTCTGTCAATCTCTTTAATTTTTTAATTTTTTCAGGCTCTCGAGTAGCAGAATCACTTTGTTTTAGTAAAAACGGACATGCTTTAGAATATGGGAATTGTGGGCGTGATACTGAGGGAAAGTTTGTGGAGTGTGCACCCGAAAACGAGAGGTGTGGATTGCTCCAATGCCATGAAGGATCAGCAAGTCCAACAATACCTAACGCTACAGCTTTTGCTTTCCAATTTGTACAAGAAGAACGTCAAATTCAGTGCAAGTAAAATTTTTTGATTAAGTGAACGTTTTAAGGGTTTGAAGTGGCTGAAATTTCAAAAAAAAATTCTGTAAAAATATTCCAATTCATTAGGGTCGTCACAAATTCTCCTCTTGGCTTTGTTAAAGATGGAACTTCCTGCGGTGAGGGACGTGTTTGTATTAGAACTGTTTGCCTTCCACTTGCTCAAGTCTCTCCGTCTGTCAAGTGCCCAAGTAGCGGTTCTAATATTTCTCAATGTTCTGGGCATGGGGTAAAGATTATTATTGAAAATTTTATTTAAATCTAGTTTTGGATCCATAAATTAATTTAAATTAAGACTTTACCTTCAACCGTCTAAAATCCTCCATCTATTCAATTTTCATTGCTAGAATATAGGCAATTCCGTTATTTTTTTGGGCTTCGATTTCCAGTTTTGTCAAATAAAAGTTTTGGGATTTACTTGAGAATTCTTTCAGAACCAGATAATCTTTTGTCATCCTTTTTTTAATTAAAAGGACTGTACAAGTGCAGGACAATGTTTGTGTTTTGATGGATGGACAGGGAAAGCATGTGATCTTCGTACACCAACTCGCCGAACAGATAATCATCATTCCCCTTCATTAGAATTTTCTTCTCTTCGTGATATTTCAACTCGTTTTGTTGGTGTTAGTGATGGAAAAGTTATTTTAGAGACAACAACATTATTAATTATTCTTTTATTTGTTGTATTACTTTTATTATTATTTTTATTATTTCTTTTGCTTTTTTATCGGAGAAGTTCGGCTGATCCATTTCAACATGCAAATATACAATTTAAACAAACAACAACTACAACTGCGGATAAAGAGGAAAGTAAAAATGAAAATGAGGGAAATAATGCTAGAACTATAAAATTTGGACAAATGCCAAGTTGGAGGGAAGAAAAACGTACAAGAAAAACAAACAAAAGAGTTTATGATGCTCTACAAAGAATTACTGAGGCGAATGAGGTAAAAGTGGAAAGGGAGTTTTGGAAAATGATTTTAAGCGGGTAAACGGCTTAAGAAAATTAAAATTTGTGAAACTCTGAAAAACTTTAACTATTTTTTGGGAATCTACTCGCTTTGAATCCCATAACCAAACTTTTTTAAAGACGCAAGTAGAGCAATTTACCTAGTAAAGGCTATCTAAACAATACAAAAATTCACTCCAAATTTATTACAAACAATACATATTTACACAAAAAATAAGGACAATAAGAATCACACCAAGAAAATAGGGAAAATAAGAGGCAATTACATAACAGATATACAATTATGAAGGGAGAAATGTTTTTCCTATATCATCACACTTTGACTTCATCATCTTCCATCAACCGCTTACATGTTGTACTCGATTGGAAGGTTCTTGCGGCGAACCATACCGTCACCCTGGAACCACTCGCGGCGGAATTGCTTGGCTGCTCCTTCCGGTGTGTTGGTCCATTCGACGGTGACACGGTCGTTGTTGGTCGCTTCCGCAGCCGGATCGAAGGCGTCGCAAGAGATGGCGATGTTGATGGCCTCCTTCGGGTCGAGAACACCATTGGGCGGGTCCATGTTCAGACGGCGAGGGTTGGTCGTCTTGAAGGCGAAGCCGATACGATGCCCACCAGAGTTGATGATCTGTAAAAGTGAAAAGAGAAATATTTATTAGTGGTTAGATTAACAAAAAAGTTGAAAACTTCACCTTCATGTAGTAGGTGTGCTTGTCATCGAACGGCGCGTTGAAGATGACCTTCACGGCAGGAAGAGTCGTGATATCGCCAGGTGGAACAGAAGCCATTGTTGTTGAGAACGGTTTGTTGTCGTTGTTTGTGTAGTTGAACAGAAAGCAGGTTGGGGAACTGGCGTACAACAAAGGTTTTTATAGTTCCCCTCTCAAGAATTCTATTCTCGAGCATAAAGGTATAAAAGAGCCAATAGAATGTTAGTCGGTATCAACCAGTTCTCTTCAACTTCAATTCCAGCTACAACAGCAACCGTTCTCAACAATGGCATCTGTTCCACCTGGCGACATCACGACTCTTCCTGCCGTGAAGGTCATCTTCAACGCGCCGTTCGATGACAAGCACACCTACTACATGAAGGTGAAGTTTTCAACTTTTTTGTTAATCTAACCACTAATAAATATTTCTCTTTTCACTTTTACAGATCATCAACTCTGGTGGGCATCGTATCGGCTTCGCCTTCAAGACGACCAACCCTCGCCGTCTGAACATGGACCCGCCCAATGGTGTTCTCGACCCGAAGGAGGCCATCAACATCGCCATCTCTTGCGACGCCTTCGATCCGGCTGCGGAAGCGACCAACAACGACCGTGTCACCGTCGAATGGACCAACACACCGGAAGGAGCAGCCAAGCAATTCCGCCGCGAGTGGTTCCAGGGTGACGGTATGGTTCGCCGCAAGAACCTTCCAATCGAGTACAACATGTAAGCGGTAGATGGAAGATGAGACGCCAAAATGCGATAATAATAGGAAAAACATTTCTCCCTTCATAATTGTATATCTATATGTAATTTCCCCATATTTTCTTGTGTGATTCTAATTGTCCCTATTTTCCTGTGTGATGTTTTGTAAATATTGTTTGTGTGTAAATAAATGAAAATTGTTGGAGTGATTGTTTTGATTCTTTAGTGAACTTTTAAATGTTTATTTGTACCTTTTTGGTATTTTGAGTCCTTGAAATTAAGTCCAAACCACTATCCATTATTTTTCCAACACTGCAAAATTAACAGAAATATGTATACATAGTTATTAGGGCTCGTATTTATATTGAAATAAAATCGGAAACTATGGCCTTATTTATTATACTTTAAAAACTACCAAAATAAGAAAATGTAAATTCAATTCTCTTTTTCATTAGATGGACTCTTTGTCGTTAAAATCACGAGAATCATCAATAGCCATAAATAATGTATTAATAAATCCACAACAACAAATAAGTCCACAACATTCACAACAGCAACAAACCTGTTTAAATATTGCCCCGATTATTTCTGAAAAATATCAACAATCTAATTGTTCTCCCCCTCAAAGTCTTCAACATTCACCAACTATACAGACATTAAATTATCAACAGAATAATAACAATACAGGCATTTTCTTTTCAAAAAGAGGGGGAAGTAATTCTTTAGAAATGGCAGAAACATCTTTACCTTTATCAGAAGGAGGAGATGTAGAGGAAGAAGCAATGCTTTTTAACTCCCCTTTTGGCCCTCGCCTTGCCAATATTAGTTTGTTGATGCGAAAACTTGAAGGGACAACGGGTAATCAGTTAAATTTATATTAAATACACTTATCACATCCCTACACTTAATACAAAAGATAGTAAAGAGGAATTTTAGCTGCGGGAATGGGGAAAAACCTTGCCCTAAATCTTTAAAAAAAATATTTTGGGTGATAATTAAAAAAAACTAAGAAATTTCAGAAGAGGAAAGATCAACGCCACCCCTACTTGCTAATTGGTCAGTTCCACCTCCAGCTTCAGCAGATTCTGGAAATCCTGGAAGTAATTTAGAACTAAGAGAATCTCCTTCACTTTTCTCTGATCCTTACAGGCTAGATCTGCCTGGATAGTTTTGAAAAAATTAAATGTCAATTCTGTCTAGCCATGTTTTTAAAAGATTTAATACTCGGAATTTTTGATTGATTCTCACACATTCCTGTTTATTTTTTAATTTATTTTTATTTTTTGAAAATTACTTTTTGATGTGCAGTTTCTAAATTTTTTGTTTATTATATAAAAATAAATAAAATATTTTAAACTTTTTAAGAATAATTAGCCCATCAAACAATAAATGTCGAATCTTTAGAATTGGCTACAACCTCCAAAACTATAAATTATGTAGTTAATAAATATTTAAATTTGTATTGTTGTCTCCTTTTAAACAAATCCAGTCATTTGTTTAAAAGAAAGGAGACAACAATATAAATTTAAATATTTATAAACTACATAACTTATAGTTTTGGAGGTTGTAGCCAAAATTCGACATGACTACAATAGAATTTGAATAAAAGCCCTTCCCCTCCCTCCTTAGACATTTTTAATTTTATTGTATTGTCTGTATGTAACGCGTAACAGATTCCACATGTCAACTTCCTAAACGAGAAACCCTTTATAAAGATAGCTAATAAAGCGAATAAAACATTCATTTTTAAAACATATAAATTTAATTGTAGGATAAACAAAGGTTCCCCCCTCTCCCCAGCCTAATTTGTTTAAATAAAATCTTGTTAAAAGAGTCGGTTGTTTTGGGTAATTCTTCAAAATAATTTTAAGGAAAAAATTATTTTTAAAGAAAAATGTGGAATTATTATATTTTTGTCTTCTTTTTATTTTTTGTTGGATTTGTAGAAAGTGTAAAGGAAAATGAAGAAGAAGATAATCAAAATATACCTCTAATTCTTTCTGAAGAAGAAATAATAGAATTAGAGGAAAATATGTAAATTAAATAAATTGTTAAAATTAATTTTAATTTTTTTAGTGTTGAAAGAAGTAATGAAGAAGAAAATGAAAAGAGTATTAAACAAGAAGAAAATATAAAAGAGAAAATTATAAGAGAATATCCGGGAATCGAAGGATTTTTGGATAACCCCAAAAAATTAAAAATTTTAATTAAAAAGCACGGAGAAATGGAGAAAAAAATTCCAGAAATTAAAAATCCTTTTGCAAGCATTAATTTAAAAGCTGTCGGCATGAAACACGCTGTATTAAGTTTTTAAAAATAATTTTAAGACATAATAGAGGGATAATATATAGAAGGTTTTGGATGTCTTCCATTTTTGCCTTCAGCCTTCCACAGAATTCCGATTTTTAATCCTTCTGAGTTTTAAAATGATGTAGTGCCCAATCCGGGTATATTAGGAAGGAAAGGAAAATATTTTGGAGAAATTTTATGTTTTTTTAGAAGTTTACTGCTAATTTAAATGATTATTGTGAAGAGATGTATAAATCGACAAATAAAAAAGATATTAAAAATTCAAATGAAATAGAAACAGAAAAGTTTGAAAAGAAAAAATCTAAAAAAATTGAAAAAGAAGCTAGAGAATTTTTAAAAAATTTAAAAGATAAATGGATAAAAGAAAGTAAGAAAAATTTTAAATTAAAAAATAAAAAGAAAGTAATTACTACTAAATTTGGAAAAAATTTAAAAATAAATAAAAAATTAAATTTAAAACAATTAACAAGAAATGTGAGTAAGGGGATAGAAAATATTATGAGAAAATTTTCAAAAAGAAGTAAAACAACTGAATATAAATTATTAAAAAATGAAATCTAAATTATTTTGTTTTTATAAAAATTGGATTTCATTTACACAACACCCCTTAAGCAGAAAATTAAGGTTAAAAGGAAAAGGGCACCTTGTAACTGAGTGAGGATATTCTTCCTAAAAGTAAATGTTGGAGTGTTGTGAAAGTGAAATCTGACTTAAAAACTGAGACTAATCTTTACTCAAAAACGAAGTCAAATTTTTTGTTTTTTACCTCACTTTTACTTTCTACCTCACCAAAACCAAAAACAAAAATTCAAAAAAAGTTTAAAGTCAAGACTCAAGACAGTCTTTGCAGAAAATATTCTGCACCTTTATTTTTAAAAAAATCAAGAAGACTAAATTTTTATTTCAAATTTTATTTGTAAAAAAAATTCACCAAGTAAACATTAATTCACATGTACATACATACATATACATATATTTTTTTAAATATTTAATTTTTATTTATTTACCAATAGTTTTGACTAGAGACCAAATCGAGATATTCTTTGAGATCTCGATTCTCGTACGAAATACCGGACACTCCCAGTCCGGTCTCTAGTTTGGACATTTTTAAATATTTTAATTTTTTATTTCAAACCTTCCAAAGTACCCCATACAGAAATATTATTTTAATTCTTTAAAGTTTTATTTTTTATTGTAATGTAAAATTTTGTATAAATCTTTTAGTATTTCCTTTTTAAAGTTAATTTAACACAAAAACTTGTTGTTTACCTCATTAAGAACTTTATTATTTATTTGTTTGTTTCCCTTGGAAACAAAAGAAAGAAGCCAAATTCGCGAAAACGAGAAGGCATAAACATTTCATTTTAATATATTTTTATTTTATTTTACAATTTAAAAACTTTTAGTTAAGTCAATTCTTTCCTTTTTTAGTTAAAAAACTTCTTTAAATAATGTCTAGCGAGAAAAATTATGTTCCAGATTTAAAAAATGTTGATAGTGAATCTGTTCCGCCAAAAGAAAAAGTAAAATTATTTTTTTAAATAAATTATTTTTAAAATTAAAAAAGGAAATAAAGAAGACACATCCAGGCCGTCCAGGTAATTTAAAAAATTATATTTTTAAGGGTAAAATTAGGGGCTTATAGAGGAGATAAACACACCAGGATTTCCAAGTCCAATTAACAAAAAATTATTTTGATAAAGTCTCTTTTTAAATTTTTCCCTAAAGATCTGGATTATGACGAGGCTCGCGTTGGCCCAGCAGAAGGATATGTTGAACAAAAAGAAAGTCAAAAATAAAAACAAAAATTTATTTTTAAAAATATCTGTCAATTAATTAATTTAGAATTGCACACACACAATTATATATTTAAAAATAAACATTTTGTGCAAATTAATTATAAATTTAAAAGGAATAGATTTTCACAACAAATTTAAAAAGGAATAAGTAGAGAGAGAGAGACTGTCACCTAATTTTAAGAAAAAAATAAAAACAAATTAACAACAAAGCACCAAATTAAAAAAGAAAGTCTATATAGGATTAAATATAAATCTATATATTTATTTATTTCCAATATTTGTTGAATGCCTCCATAATCTGAAATTTAAAAAATAAAGGTTTTGTTTAAAAAGAATTAACAGTTAGGGGATTTATTATTAAATTTTGCAAGTTTTTGTGTGAAATTAAACTAATAAAAATTTAAATTAAATAAAAACAAGGCTTAATTACAACAGAATTATTGCTATTATTCCACAATTATTTAAGAGAATTCCAATGTTTTTAGGGAAGAAAACTTCAATTAACGAAAATGTTATAACCCAATATAAACTCTTATATTTTGAAAACACTTATATTCTAAACTACTACTTACTTATCCCCAAAATAAATTACTAAAAATTATGTCGATATATATTTTAAACAAAAAATTATTATTTAAAAAAAAACTAACAGAATCGTAAATCATAAAAGTAATTGCAACATCCAAACAACTTTAAAAAAATAAATTAAAGTTATTAATTTAAAAATTAAACTTACACTCTGCTTAAACGAGGAACTGTTCCCTTATAAAAACTTAAAAAATAAAATAAATTTTTATAAAATAAAAGAAAAATTCTTACGCAAAAAATCCTTCTTTAACCCAAATCTGTTTAGCACAATCAAAAGTGTTTTTATATTTCTTTGCTTCCAACCCTTGCATTCTAGTCTTTACAACATCTACAGGTGTGTTACCATAACTAAAAAGTAATTTTTCTAAAAATTTTTTAAAATAAATTTTTAAGTTTGTTGAATTTAATAAAAGCAAAAATGGACTTTAATCGGAAATTTAAATTAAAAATAAAGTCTTTTGATTATTTTTTATACCTATGGTGAAAATTTAGATTTATTGTTTGAACTGCAGAATTTAATTTTTAAATTTAATTTCACTCATGACCTATTAAAAAACAAGTTATTTTTCTAAATTTTGACATAAGCATAAAAGGAAATTTTCTTTTCAGTTTTCTTATTAAAAATTTAATAATATTTAATTTTATTTAAATAATTATTTGTCCAATTGTTTAAAAAAATTTTCTCAAAGCAAAATTTCTTACACACTAGCTGCACCAGCAATCGCCCCAAACAATCCAACAACAGGTTTACTAACAGATTTACTACTATCCCCACCACGATACCAATCTTTTAAAGTTTCCATTACGAAAAAACGAATTGCTTGATTACTTCCTTGTTTTACCATTGTGGCTGTTAATCCTTGATAAAGCCCCTAAAAAATAAAAATTTAAATCGAAACGTAGAGGAAATTTGGAAAAAGGGGCTGAAAGAAAGATTAGTAATATTAATCCAAGGTTGATCCCCATATTTTTACTCACAAAAAATTAAAAAACCTTAAATCCTTCAGTTTTAACAATAACTCCAAGTCCATGAAGAAATCCACGAAAACGAGGCTTTTCCAAAGTTTGGTCATGTATAAATTTAACTTTAATTGTTTCCATAGGAGTTACAGCCAAAATAGCTTCTGATACACCAGCACCAAGTCCACAAGCAAGTCTAAGTAAAGGAGAGAGATTTCCACGTTCATCGACAGCTCGGCTCTTTAATGACTCAAAAGCACCAAAACGAACAGAAGATTTTGGAATTGAACCATATCTAGATTAAATTTGAAAATACTTGTAAAAAACTAGAAAACATACAATAGAACAGAAAGTCCTCTATAAAATCCAAAAAATCCTTTACTTTTATAAGTCTGTTTAACACAATCAACGGGCCCCTAAATTATTAATTAAACTTTATTTAAAATTAAAAAAAAACTTTAAATCTCGGGACAGCAGAACGTTCATCTAATTGTAGTTGAGTCTTGACATATTCTGTTGGATAAGTTATACAAATTTCAATTCCTCCAGTTACCCCACCAATAATAATTCCTTTTGTTGTTTTTTCTGAAGGTAAAAATCTAAAAATGTTTTTATAAATATTTTTAAAAACTTTATTTGGCTAAAGAACACTTTACCGGGCGATTTTTGATTTGGACAATCTATATGTTAATCGAAACACCAAAATTAGGTGTCATGTTCTCGCAGATTAAGGTACTTTATGGATATGTCACCCCCCTCCTATTTTGAGTCTCAGAGTTTTCCTTAAACGTAGAAAATGGTCAGCGATTATTTTCTTCTCAATGTCAATCATTTTTCTTTTTTCAAGCAAAACAAATGAAATGTGGTAAATGTAGAAACGAAATGAGTGAAATGTAAGTAAAAAATATGTGAAAAGGCAAAATAAACAAGCAAAATACTTGAAGAAAGAAAAATGATTGACATGGAGAAGAAAATAATCTCTGACCATTTTTTACGTTTAAGGAAAACTGAGACTCAAAATAGGAGGGGGGGTGACATATCCATAAAGTACCCAGATTAATTTTGGTATAGTTCGACTTAGCTGCCAAAACTTTCGATTAAAATATAAGGTGCAAATCTAAAATCTCCCAGTAAAGTATACTCCGGCCCTTTATTTAACCTTCTATATCCAGAAATTATATTAGAATTAACATTAGTTGTTGTTTCATTATTATTTGGAGGCATTACCTCACCTCCTTTTTCTAAATACTAAAATTAAAAAATAAATAAAAGAAAAGAGAATAAAAATATAAATTGGAAAAAAAATAAAATATAACGCCACATTTTCCCTGAAAAAAAGTTTCACGTGAAAATAACAGAATTACTAGTAAAAGGAAATGGAATGATCAATAAAAGGTTGGCAAGAAATAAAAGTAAAAAAAATTTTTTTGGAAATAGAAAAAGGAAATCTTAACAGGTTTTGTACATCAACTTCTTTGCTTCAAACCTAAAAATCTTCTTAAGATGAATGATGTCAAAAATATTGAAAAAAACCCATCTGTCAATTGTAAGGTTATTAATCGGTGACGAAAAGACATATGGCAAATTGTAACTAAGCAAAATAAAATATAAATTGGGATTAAATGTCATTTAAATAATAATAAGCAATATGACAGAAAATAATTTGGAATGTTTATTTAAATTTTTTACTTATTTTTGATAAAACTTCACGAGAAATTGTTAAATTTATAATCTCAAAATATGCAAAAATAGGATTTCCAGAAAGTTCTTTTATAAAAATTTAAACATTCTACAATCTTTATGTTCGAATATACACTCATATTTATTAAAATTAATTCATTACTTTTCTAATTTTATTTTTTTAGAGTATTCTGAAAAAAATTAATTTTTAAAATTTATATTCAATGAATTGGATTCACTGTATGTTTTTTAATCAGAAATTTCGTTTAAATATTTAAATTTAAAGGTAATAAATGTTCGTCAGTTCCGGCTACAGGAAAATGTTTTTTCTGGCTCACTTCTTGTGGACATGTTTTTTGTGGAGAATGTGCTGGAATTGAAAAAGGATGTAAGTTTATTTTATGAAAAGATTTTTTTTTTTGAAAACCTGGAGGAAGGGCAATACTATTGGTTTGTTTTTCCAAAAAAATTTGACTTGATAATTTTCGAGAAAATAATTGTCGGGTCTTTTAGATCGCTCAGGCATTTTCCTCATTTAGTGACCAACCTAATTAAAAAAACACTATTTTAAACTGAATGAGGGTGTTTTTGGGTTATTTCGAATTGAGACAGGACATTTAAATTTAGCTTTTGTGCATGGAACTGCAAGTTCCGTTTCTTGTTTTGTATGTCATCACAATGTAAAAGCTGTTCAAATTCGTCGAGGTATGGATCAATCAGCAGCTGTGCTTTTTCGTCCACCTAATGAATTGTTGCAAAAACTGAGCCAATTTTACAAAATTGGTGAAATTATTAAATTCCAAGCTTGGCAGTTTGCGAGTTTTCAACGTCTTAGACAGGGAAAGGTTGAAAATGTTTTTTTAATTTTCTTGAGGAAATTAATTAATTACAGGATACTTCTCAGGAAGTTTACTACAAACAATTACTTCAAAAGAAAGATCGAGAATTGGAGAAGGCTTTAGAAGAGAATAAGCGGTTTACTACTCTGTAAGTATTTTTATTTGATAAATTTGAAGAGGGGAACTTATGTAGAGGGTATTTATAAAATAAAAATAAATTTATTAAAAAAATATTTTAGACTTGAAAACAAAGAAAAGGAAATTCGTCAACTATCTCAACAACAAAAAGAAATGACACAAAACAATTTAACGATTATGGATGCTTTTTCTGATGATTCTTTTATGCCACCTCCAACAAAGCGTCAAAAATATTTATCTATGAATTGTCATTCTTTTAATACGCCTCTCTCATTTGGTGGTGAATTTAACAAAACGAGTACTCCGGTAAATTTTTGTAATTGTTTTAAATTAGAACAGAATGTTGTTTTTGCGATTTTCTTTAAGTATTTTTAATTTTTTAGTGAAAATTAGTGTTTTTGGTTTTTCTTAAAATATTTTACAAAAATATTTTCTTTTTTTAGATTCAAAATCATTCTCAATCTTCATCCAATTCTTTTGTACCGGCATCTTCTACTTTTTCTCATAGGCTTTCTGCTACAGGGTCAATCTTTCACCGACCGTCGCCTTTACCTCTTGGAAAAATTACAAAAGGTAAATTAAATAATTTCAATAAAATATTAAATACATATTTTTTTAATTTCCAGGTCAAGTTTTGCCTCCTCAACAATTTAAACATCGTTGGTGCAAGTAAATATTTTTTGTCTTTGTTTTCACATTTTTATATTTTGTTATATATTTTTTGTTGTTTAATTGGGTATTTATTGTATTTAATTGCTTTTTCTTGTGATTTTTATTTTAATTTTTGGAAAATAAATTTTTAAATTTAATTCTTAAGTTTATTTTTAAATTTTCATTTATTTAAAATATCTTTTAGATTTTTGAATCTTTTCTTCATTAAATTTAAAAGATGTCGCAAGTCTGTGCTCTTTCTTTTAGCTCAAGAAGATTAGGTGCTGCAATTTATGATGAAGATGAAAAAGAAGTTAAACTTTTGGATATGGCTGAAGATGACGATTTTTTGGTTCTCGAAAGGCGTTAGTTTTTTAATTTATTGTTTTGTTTACCCTAAATTTTTTGAAAGATTTTTAATTTTTCTGGGTCAGGGGAAAAAATCTAGTTGTATTTTTCCTTAAAATTTTTATAATTAGGAACATCAATTCTGCCAAAATTTTTATTTTATTTCTAACAGTATTGCGTGAAGTAAAGCCAAGTCATATTCTTGTAAATCGATCACAAAGTGCCGAATATCAAATGCATTTGCGTAAAAAATGTATTTTATTTTTAAATTGTTTTAAATTTCATTTTAAATTTTTAAGGTAGTATGGTTTCTGGAATGGAAGAAGAAATTTCTGACAGATCAAATTTAAAAGAATTTTCAACTTCTCAATTTGCCCAAACACAAATAACTTTTGTAAATACAATGGAAGAAAAAGAATTAGATAAAAGTACATCAAAAGAGGAAGGAGAATTGGATGATGATGATTCTTTACTTTGGCAGCCTTCAATTACTTTTTTGCCTGATATTGCTTTTAGTAAGTAATTTTATTTAATTTTTAAATTTGTGAGAGATTTTTAAAGAAAATCCTTCTGGCCCTATCAATCTGAATAAAATAGTACTGTTTTTCGGTCTCTTACAATTAGTAAATAATCAACTGTCAATTTACGATCTCTCTTATTTTTGTTCCAACCTCTTCCCTACCACCCTTTCTGTTAATCTTACATTAACTTTAAAAGTCTCAATTTTGTAAAAATCATTTTTTAATTCAGAATTTCCCCAATCTTAAAGGTTTTGTATTTTCAGTTACTATTTAATAATTTAAAGGTTTTGGATTAGCTTGTAAAAAATTAGAGCAAATATTTGGCGCTGGTGTAAGAAATAAACAAATAATGGCTTCTTTTCGACTTGATTTTACTTCTACAAATATGGTTAATTTTTTAAATTAATATTTTTTTATTAATTAAAATTATTTTAGATTCGTTCATTGGGGGCACTTTTAAGATTTATGGAACAACATGGAATTAGTGGGCAAGCTTTTGAAAATTTAAGTGTAGAAAAGATGACAACACTTTTTTTGTAGGTTTTTATAAAATATTTAACTTTGATATAATTTTTAATCCATCTCCTCATAGGCTTACATTTTTATAAAAAAGGAAACTAAAAAAACGTATTTTACAAAAAAATTTTTTAAAGCTGTTTAAGCCAGGATTATAATTTTACCGAATTTCCTTTTTTTTCTTGAGAGGTTTACTTTTTTGTTTGTGAATAATGAATCACTTTTCCGCTAATTTTTTTGCATTAAACTAAAAATAATTTTAAAAACATTTAAGTGATGATTGCATCGAAGTTGACTCAACAACACTACGCGCTTTGGAAATTTTTTATTCAGATTATACTCCAGAAACAATTCGAAAAAAATTTGTTTGGGGAAATAATAGACGTGAAGGAATGAGTATATTTAAGCTTTGTAATCTTTGTCGGTCTTCACCTGGAAAACAAAAACTTAGGTTTTTTTTTTAAAAATAATTATGTAGTAAATATTAGCGATATTAAGAGGGACAGAATTTATTTTTGGTATTCGATCTTTAGATTAGAAAGGATTAAAAGTCGCTTATAATGAGGGGACTATAAAACTTTTTATTTTTTTTATTTTAAAGAAATTGGTTTGAAAGACCAATAAATAATTTAACAATACTTTCTGAACGTCATGAAGCAATTTCATATCTCCATCAGGATTGTAATGTGGAAGTTACTTCATTTATATATAGTTATGTTAAGGATATATTTTCTATCAAGGTTTTTATTTCAAATTTAAATTTAGTTATGTTTGTTGACATACCCTTATTTTTACTCATTCCATTTTTGTCATGTTTACCTTTAATTTTCTTTATAAAACGTTTTAACAAAAGAGAAGTAGAGTTGCAAAGTGCCTAACGGTAACTATACGTGGGTCATAGCCCGTTGGCAAAACTTGTGCTTGCAAGCTTTTATACTTTAGCAAGATTCTGTACGCAACAATAAAAAAATTTTCAAATTTTATTGCTTACTTATTTTTAAAAAATATTTTGCAGCCAATCTTCCGTCGTATACGTCGAGGGAATTTACCAGTTTCTGACTGGAAAAATTTATTTTCGGTTAAATTTAAATAATTTATCTAATAATTTTTTTATTTTTAGAGTATTTGTGCAATGATAAAAATTGGAGAATTTTTGACTGAAAAAGAAGTTAATTTGGCTTTTTTAAAAGGTAAATTAAACCTCTTTGGGGCAAGACTTCAACAAGTTGCTTGTTTAATTTCTGAAGTGGTTAGTTTTTTTGATATTTTATTCTAATAGTAGTCTCTTCTCCCATTTATTTGGTCATCCTCTCTAGCAGAGACTTGTAAATAGCTACTTGATGAGTTTTTTTCGATAATGAACAAAAATTCGATTGCGTACTTGTTCGATATGGTCAATAACTAGTAGTGTTAAATTTCCATCTCTAATAATCTCCTCTAGAAAATACCTTCTGGGTTTATAGCAGTTGACACAAAGCATAAGTTTATTTTTTAGATTGATTTTCAAGAAACACTTGCCGAAAACCGAGTTGTTATTAAACAAGGAATAGATAAGGATTTGGACAAAAGTTATTTTTCTTTTTTGTTTTAAAATTTTTTTCTCTTCCAGAAAAGAAATTTTATGAAAATTTGCCGGATGAGTTAACTTCTGTGGCTAGACAGGAAGCAGAGGAAATTTTGATACAAACATGCACTGTTGCTTATTTACCTATAGTTGGTTATTTATTAATGGCACCTGCATCTGTTGAAATACCTGCAAGTTCGAGTATGTTAGTTGAATTGGTAGGTAGAAAAATTATTTTTTTTGATTTTATTGAAATTGAACCTACCTTTGAGACTGGAAAACTGTATCTTATGAGGGCCACAAAACTTTTTACCTTTCCTTTTCTAATTTTTCTATAAATAAGTTTTAGAATATAATCTTTCTTTACTAGATTTTTATCTCAGAAGGAATGTCTTATTTTAAAACTAAACGTATGCGTTTATTAGATGAAAATATTGGTGATATTAAAATGGACATTATTGATGCTGAAACTAATATTGTTTTAAAGTAAATTTTAGTTTCTTTTTAATTTTTTTATTTGGTTTTTAATGGTTACTCCCCTTCAAAAAGTTAACATTTTTTAAATTTTATTTTGTTAAATTTAACCTCTGAAATATAAACATTCCGTCGAATACATTGAGGGAATTTTTTAAATATTTAGAGCTACTTTTGACAATATTTTTACTTGTTCTCAAATTTTTCAAAAATTTAGTTTAATTCTTTATAGTTTACAAAAACGTTTACTTGGATCTCGTCAAATTGTGTTGGATGCAATTGATTTGGCTGCTACTTTAGATTGTTTTGTTTCACTGTAAAAATAATTTTTTATTAAAATAAACATGTTTATTTAAAGTTCACAAGTTGCTCGTAAATATAATTGGATATGTCCAAAATTTGTAGAAGAACCTATTTTATCAATTAAAGAAGCTAGACATCCAATAGCTGAACATTTGTGTAAAACAGGGACTTATGTATCTAATCCAATAATGTAATTAAATAATTATTTTTTTAATTAAAAAATATTTTTTTAAATTAATTTTAAGTAGTTCAACAGAAGATGGAAAAATAAAAATTTTATTTGGGCCTAATTCTTCTGGAAAAAGTGTTTATCTTAAAATGGTTGGTAGATTAAAAGTTATACAGAAATTTTATTTAATTTAGACAAGGGTCTTCACAGAACATTAATTTTAGATATTCCAAAATTGGTGTGGCGATTTTTAAGCAATACCCCCTAATATAATGTAAAGATTTTTTCGACACCAAAGGGATATCTAAATACAAACCAAAATAGCTGATTAGTGGGAAAATTGTTCCTATACTTTTTTCTCTTATTTTCTCTTGTTTTTGTGAGAACATTCTTTTTCCATAAAATTATTACGGAGTTGCTAATTTTTGACAGAACTCTTTTGATTTAATTAAAAATAGAAAAACACAAAATTAACGATGCGATAAAAAATATTTTTTAAAATAATTAGATTGGAGCAATAGTTTACCTTGCAAGTGTTGGCTCTTTTGTGCCTGCATATCGTGCTACTATAGGAAAAATTAGTAGAATAATGTCAAGGCTTTATACTGTTGATTCTGTATTGGATGGAATGTCTTCTTTTGCAAATGATTTAAAACAAGTTTTTTGACAAAAATATTTAAATAATTTATTTTTTGTTTTTTAGATGTCAAGGGCTGTTGCCAGAAGTGATCAAAATTCTTTATTAATTATTGATGAATTTGGGAAAGGAACACAAACGGTAAGAAGATTAATATAAATTATTATTCTAAAGAAGAATCGGAACTTTTGTTTAACTAATTGTTCCTTTTCCTTTGTGTAATTAAAATTCAAAGGCATCTCTCCATTTATAATAAAATAATAGCAATTTTTGTTTATTTTAAGGAAGTTGGTCTTTCTCTACTAGCTAGCTGTTTAAATTATTGGCTTGAAGGTCCAATAGAAAAATGTCCGCATGTAGTCGTTGCCTCACATTTTTATGCACTTCCAGAACTTTTAACAGATCCAAACAAACTATTAAAATATCAAACAATGGGTGTTAGTAGATTAGATGATGATACTTTAGATTTTCATTTCAATTTGGTTGATGGTATTACTGACTTTAGTTATGCCACTTTTACTGCTTTAAAAATGGGAATACCTAGAGAGGTTGTTGAACGTTCTGAAGAGGTAAAATTAGAAATTTTATTTAAAATTTTGTTTAAAATCTGCAAATTTTCTTTGGATTTACAGTCTGGACAGGGATTCTGTCTTCCTTTTCCTTTGTCTTGAAGGGCCCATCCCTAATATATAACTTGATAAAATTGCTCAATTTTTTTTATAAAAAGAGTTGTGTTTTTTTTTTATTTTTTGAGGTCTATCTAAACTTAAGATCAGGTGGTTTATTGTCTGATTTAACACCCATTAAATTACCGGAATTATCAATTATTAAAGAAGAATTAAATAATGAAGAACAAAAAACAGATGAATCTAATATTATAAGTAAAGTAGATGAAACTATTTTTGATCATCTTTTAGAAAATAAAGAAATTATTTTTGAAGAAGTAATTGAAAAGAATAATGAGGAAAATAATGAAAAAGAAAAAATTAATTTTACTATTGAAGAAGAAATTGTTGGGAAAGAGGAGGAAGGAGATAATGTTAATAAAATTATTAATTTTATTGAAAAAATAGAAGAAAGAAAAGAAAAAGAGAAGGGAAAAGAGAATGTTGAGAAAGATGAAGAAAATAAAAAAGAAAATAATATTAATTGTGTTGATGAAACAATTTTTGAAGAAGAAGAAGGAAATAATGCAAGTATTTTAATAATTGATGAAGAAGAAGAAGAAGAGGAGGAAGATGATTTTAGTAAAATAATTGATGATGCTGATAATGAATTTTCTTTTTAAATTTTAAAGATTTTGTGGATTTTTGTTTAATTTTTGTTAATTTAATAATTGCACGGGTAAAAAAAAGATTTTGGATTGGATTTTGTTTAAATAAACATTTTGGCAAAGATGGCATTTATTTTTATAAAATTTACAATTTCTGTAATTTAAGTACTTCTGGAGGGGACCTCTCACTTTTAATTTAAAAAATATTTTTTCTTTTTATATTTTATCAACTTTCTTCCCTCCTTTCTCCACATTTTCATAAAAAAGATTTCCTCTTTCATTTTGTTCTGTTTCAATTGATTCAAATAATGCTTTAAAATTACCAGCTCCAAATCCCTTTAGTAATTTAAATTAATTTTAAATTTAAAAATAAATTACTTGGTGATTATGACGTTGAATTATTTCAATAAAAAGTGTTGGGCGGTCCTGACAGGGTTTTGAAAATATTTGTAGTAAATAACCATTCTCATCAAAATCAACAAGAATTTTTAGTTTCTATAAAAATTAAATTTTTTGAGGAATTTTTGTTTGGAAATTTAAAATTTGCTCGCACTCATACCTACATGCCTATCTAAATTTTCTCGTACACATAAACAGGTAGAGTATGAATTTTGAAATGAGTATTCAAACATTGTTTGGAAATAGAGAATGAATAAAATTATTTGGGGATTTTTGCGAGTCTTCACTTTCCATTTTAGATAGAGGAAAATAGGGCAAAGAATGTAAAACAATCCCCAAAGCTAAAACAACCCCCCTACATCCAGTAGCTGACTAAGTCTTGTGTGAAATGATGTCCACTAGCCGGGAATGATTTTAATCAAAATTCATTAGATATTTTTCCTAAATTTTGTTCCAAAACTGAAAAGTTCTTTTAAATTCTCCTTGTCATAGCTAAAATCTCCTTATACCAAAATTCTTTGTTATATTTTTAAAGATTTATACGACAGCCCCTCAAATCCAAGCTTTTCAGTTTTAATCAAGATTCCCCCCTCTCCTTTCCAAAAACACTTATTTTTAAATAATTCCCCCTAAAACAACCCTCCTCTTTCTTCCATTTCTTTCAAAAAATCTACTTGTAATATATTAATATCTTCTTCAATTTTCATTTTAGCAGCTTCTAATCTTTCCCTCAAATTTAAATAATAAGAATCTGGAATAGAAAGAAATTGTAATCCTCTAAATTTAAGTGATTCAATTGCTTTAATTATATTTGAAGTATTTAAAGCAATATGTTGAACACCGGCCCCTCCATAATAATCAACAAATTCTTGTATTTGAGAGACTGCTTTTCTTGATTTTGCTGGTTCGTTTATAGGCATTTTTATTGTTTCCTCTTTATTTGCCATTACAATTGAACGGAGGGCCGAATATTCTGTGTGAATAACAGAATCATCTACTGACCAAAAACGGTGAAAAGCAAGTACTCTTTCATACCTAAAAATGTTTGGATAAACTGAATACGGAGGAATTTAAATCCATTTTTTTCTAGAAATTACTATAAAGGAAGTACAAAGTTTTACGTAATTTTGTTCCCTAGGAATTGAAACAAAATCTGAACAACGTTCATAGAGCCTCCCTCCCTCCCCAGCATTATAACTTTCAATCCCTCGATACCCCCATTAATCCTTCATAATCCCTACAAATCATCCAATATTACTTTTAATCCTCATAAATATATCCCACAATCTTTCTTGTAATCTCAACTCAGTTTCAAAACTGTATCTTGTATAGGCTCGTTTTTTTATGTATAAGTTTTTTTATCTTGTATAAGTCGTTATATTCTATTATATTTGATCCCACAAATTTCTTTTTTTCTAAATTTTAACAAATCCTTCCTACCATTGTGCCACACTTTCCATAGTCAAATCTGGTTGATTTCCCACACAATGATCTATAAACTTCAGTTCTGGTTGAGGAAAATTAAATTCATTTTCTGTTTCCTCATTTGCTGGTTTAAATCCGGGAAGGAACACTCCACGATATTTACTTCGATCAATTAATGTGTGGACTGTATCTCCATACTTTAAAATTAACAAAAGAAAAAATAATTGTTTAAATTGATTAATGTAATTTTAAAAAGTTTTTTCTTAAATGTTTTGCCAAGTTAAATTAATTAATCAAATAAATCTTTCATTAAAACAAATATTTTAATAACTAATTAATTTAAAACTTTACCGTCTGAATTGAAGCCTGAAATTAAAAATATTTTAGTACCTAAATCTTTATTCGCATCTTAGATACCCTCAAAATTAGATACCGATTTACTAAATAATTACCCTGGTTAATTATTCTTTCAATCATTCACTGGAGGGGATAATTTAAATAGAGGGAGGGAGGGGGGGGGGGTAATTATTTGAGTAAATACGGTAATCCTCATTTAAGTGGGTATCTAAATTTTTCTCTTCAATTTTCTCCCTTACCACCCTAACAGATCCATTTTCATCCGTATCTTCAGTTACATCTTCAACAATTTTCCCTCCATTTATTTTTGCTTGTTCAACTATCCAATCCAAATTATCTACTTCAAAAGCAACATCTTTTACACCTTTTTTATTTTAAATTTAATTTTTTAATTTTAATTTAATTAACCATCTCCATGTTTATTTAAATGTTTCCCAATTTCTTCATTATTTGGCAAAAGAGGGGATTCAAAAACAAAAATTATTTTTCCCTGCTTTATTGCATGGGCTACTGTTCTTTAAATATTTTTTTAAAATAATTAAATTTTTTTTCAAAACCTTCTACTCCCAGTTTCAAGTCCTCTATATGCAAATGTTTTAAAACCAAAATTTATACGATACCAATGAGCAGCCTAAATTTAAAAATTGGGTAAATAATTGAGAGCAGGTAAATCGAGAATATCATCTTGATTAAAATCTAGTCTCGGTCTAAACTCTCTAATTTATAAATTGGTTATACTGTGTATTCTTGTTTCTTTAATTTAAAATCCTCTCTAACCTGCTTAGCATTTCCAACCCAAAAGCGGATGTGATCGAAACAAACAAAACGAGAATCTTCTCCTTCTTTTTTTCCGTTTTTCATTATTTCTTTAAAATTAAATTTTTAATTATTGAATGAAAAATTAATTGGAGAGAAAAGTGCGCAAAAATAATTATAATTTGTTGATTATTATTCTCTTCTCTCCTTTTTTATATTTAATTAATTAAAGTATCTCTCCATCAATTATTATTTTGATCATATTTTTATTTTATTGCATCAGACACACGCGACTTTAACATTATTTTTTTCGTTGAAATTATTTTTATTTAATTTAATATTTTCGTTGAAAAATATTTAAAACAAAATTCTTTTACCACGCGTTTATTTTAATTAATTTTAAAGACTCTTTTAGAAATATTTAAACTTTATTTCTCTTTAATTTAATCTTTCAGGCTTAGGAATATTATGTTTCAACGAAAAAAGTTTCTCCAATTCGGATATAGACTTAAAAAAATTAGATACATTTATAATGTAGTAGTGAAATCTTACAAGAATAATTTAATTTTTCTATCCTCTCTCATCTTTGACTCGTCCAAATAACCTCTCGATCATTCTATCCCAAACTTTAATTCAAAATATAAATTAATTTTTAAATCAACCCCCTCAATTTATTATTTTTTACTTTCTTTTTTTTTAATCAATTAAAAAATATAACCAACAACCAAAAAAGTGATAGTGGTCCTCAAGAAATAAAATTATAAGAAGAAAAAAAGTTATAGTATATAATTTTACAAAAATGTACTTATATAATAGAAAAAAATTTTTAAAAAAATAGAGAGAGAGACTGTTCTCACAACTAAAAAGATTTAAAAAATAATCAAAAAAGAAAACTGCTGCCGTTTTTAAAATGAGCAAAAAGTTTAATTTTAAATATAAAGAAATGAGAAAACCCAAAACAGAAAGAGAGAAAGTTATATAATTTGAAAGTAATTAGAGAGAGAATTCTATCAGTAAATATACAGACTACTTCAATTGTAGCTACACCTTTGTGGCTTAAAAATAAAACCTTAAATTAAGGGTATCATATCCTAAGGGAATCCCCTGATTCGATATCCAATCCAAAATCCCCGGCCATTTTTGTGTACCCGGTACGCCAACTCTACTTGTAATGAAATTACTTTGAAGAGGTGATATCTCTTTTAAACGGCCTCTCCCTCAAGTGCCAAACCAAAATAAAAACATCCATTAAATGTATCTACAAATCCGTGTATTTACAATTGAAGACTGTATTTGGTTAGAAAAAAAAATTCTAACAAAAATAGTCAAAAAAATGGTGGTATTAATGTTTAATAGTCTACATATTATTTTAAAGTTTTCTTTAAAAACCTTTCTATAATATTCCTTTTCATTTCTCTCTGTTCCTACTCTATATGTCCCAGTTTATTCGCTAGAAGGAGGCAATACTTCCAAATGTTCAGACGAATAATTAATTTCATTAGTCTCAGAAAGTATTCCGTTTTTACTAAAAAATATTGTTACAAATTTTTATTCGTTTAAAAAACCTCAAATTATTCCCATTCGAAGCATAATCACTAATAGTTGTCGAATTTGATGAAACTGAAGATGGTTGAATAACACTAGTCAATGAAGAACTTGAATGATGTTTTAAACGATAACATTCTGGCAAAACTTCAAAAGATTCAAGACTCTCATTTCTCATACGTCTCTAAAAAATTTTTTTGATTTAATTAAAATATTTTTTTAAATTTACTGAAGAATTCTCATTTGAATATTTTCCATTAATAAAAGGTTCACGCATTGAAATATTATTTTGTTGACCATTTATATTATTTGAAGAATTTGATGATGGATTAAGTTTTCCAAGTTGCTTAAATTTGAAAAATAAATTTATTTTTCTTTTCATTTTAAAAACCTTTTCAAGATCATATATACGTCTCAAAACTTTATCTTCAAATTGAGACGGTACACGAGAAAGTCCATCAACATCCAAACATTTCTAAAATAAAAAATTATATTACAAATTAATCCGAAAATATATTAAAGGAATTAAATTCAAAAAATTCTTTTTTTTTCATTCCAAAATTAACAAAAATTTTTGGAAAATTTCCTTTTCTCAATTCGGAAAAAACAAAATTAATATATTTGGAAAGTAAAAGAACCTGGCAGAAAACTGCAGAAATTGAACCTATTGTACAATTATCATGTATCTTTGTCGCTGAATGTCCAATACAAGGCGAACCACATGAAACACCAAAACCAATGGTTGGCCTTAAACAAAAATCAATTTACAATAAAAATTAATAAAAACCCTGGAGATGGAATTGGAGTTGTTAAATTCATTGATTGCTCTACTAAAGATGTCAGACTGGCTGCTGACTGAAATTAAAAATATTTAAATTTTAATTAAATCAAAAACCTGAGATCGAGAAAGACCATTATTTACTTTGTCAGAAGAAACATCTTGTGTGCTGCCTGTTCCCGTATTTTGATGAGAAGGTTCATTCTTAATAAATTAGGGATGTAACAAAATATTAAGAAAACTCTCAAAAAATTGTCTAAATGTCATAACCCATTTAGAAAATGTTTGACATTAATGTTCATAATTCTGGTAGTATCTAACATTTTCAAAATATACCGGATTATTAATTAGCGACTGATCAGCCGTACAATAATAAGCATCTCTCCAAATCAACAATTCTGGTAAAGTTTTTGGGTAACGAAGCATTCCACCAGCATAATCCTCACGAAAGGCAGGATTGCGAAATCTTTATAAAAAAAATAAATTTAAAAAAACATTTAACGAAAGCTAAATACTCTGTATTGTGTTTCCCCAAATAACTCCAAACTTGAAAACAACGATGTCTATGCTCATCAGTATCATTTGGATCGCATCCATTTTTTATTGCATCCTTCAAAGAATTAAACAAAAAAGTCCCAAAAAGACCAGAAAAAGTGTGTTGGGCAAGTTTCATCTAAAAATTAACAAAAAAATAATAAAGAAAATTACTTTTAAAAAACCAAATATCGCCGATTAAATTCAAATTGGTCAGTATTTTTCTCCCAAAGTTGATAAACGCAATCCAAAAATTGAAGAAAAACTGGACACTTTTCATTATCATCAGTATTAAGAACACCACAGCGATCAGAAAATTTATGTCCAAATTCAATCCATTGCCAACGAATTAAAAATTCAAAACTGAAAAACATTAAAATTAAAGAAGAAAATCTTTAAACATAAAAACCCTTCAAAAGTGCGGTAATGCGGATCGGCTATTAACATACACAACGAAACAATTTGAGTAGTACGATCCCAACCATCCGAGCAATGAACAAGAACACTGGTACCTTAAAAATAAAAGAAATATTTAAAAAAATAATTTAAAGAAAAAACCTTCATTGCACAAAGATTTTAAACAACGTTCAACAGAATTAAACAATTGACAAATATTATGTAGCCAAAGTGTAGATTGCAAATTTTGAAGGAAAATATTAGGATCTAAAGCGCCGTTAAGAGTTTGACGAAGTTGATGAAAGCTGTATCGAATGTTGTGAATATTTGCCAAACCCATAAAGATAACGTCAGCATTAGGGTAAGTATCTAAATTAATAAATTAGTGGTTTAGGTTACTTGCTTTGTTATTTTAGTAAACAACCCGATTTTGGGACAGAAAATAATTACCAAAACTTATTAAATTTAAAATAACCTGGTCCTTCAAATCCACCTCCTTTGGCTCTATTTGCCCAAGCAGCCGTGTAAGAACGAGCATCAACAATAAGAAACTTTTTGTTTAAATCTAAATTTAAGATAAAAAATTTAAAAAATATTTTTCAAAAACCTGGAGAGATCGCAGAACGAATTCTTTCGTAATGAGAGATATCCTTTCTATAAAAAATTTTACTTATTAAAATATTTTAAATTAAAAATTCCAACTCGTTTGTCAATCCAAAAAAGCCAATAGATGGCTGGCTGCTTCGCAATAAAACAGCTCCATTACGTTTGTTTCGCCAAACAACTGTAGGGAATCGACGATAGCAACGGCCATAAGACATTTGCTTCAAATCCTCATCGCTAACAGATTTTGGAACAAACAAAAATTGAGGATAAGTCGGACAAATTCTATTTATGAAAATAATAGTTTAAAAATTTCTTAATAATCTTACTCAAATGTCTCATTTTTCACAGAAATTCGCCAATTATCATCTGGAAGTTTTAAACGTCTAAAAAGGAAATAAATTAATAAAAACAAAAAAATTTAACCGAAATTCGTTGTGCAAATGTTCATAAGCAGAAAGCCTTTTAGTCTCTTTACGTAACCAATTTGGTGGCTTTTTTGATGTTTGATTAAAAAAAGTAAAAGCAAATATGCCATCCAAATCTCTAACAACACAAGTCTTTTGCATCAACTTTTTATACCAAGCACAGGCAGTCTCTGAGTTTTCAGCTCGAAGTCTTAAAAGATTTTCGGTAAATGACGTTTCCATACCACTCTTTTCCTCCGTTTTTTCTTATACATGTACAGAATGGTCAGACCTTTTATCTTTCTTCCATCCAAATTGCTTTTTTATATTGCTCAAAACCAATCAGAAAGGCAAATGCGATGAAAAAAGGAAAAAGTCTGACCCTTCTGTACATATTCTATATAGAAAAAACTTGGAAGGAAAAGGAATGATACTACTACTACTGGATATTTTAAATATAAACAAAAAAACAAACTTAATTATCTTGCCATCTTTAGAACTAATTTGAAGTCCAACAATATCTTTCGCCTCTAACAACTAAAAAATAAAGTCTAAGAAAAATAATTTAAAAAATTAAAAATACGTCAACTCCTGTTAAAGGGATTGCACAGATTGCACTCTGATTATGAGCAACAATAATAATACGAAATTGAGTAACATAAAGTTGACCTATAAAAAATAGAAAAAAATATAAGAAAAATAATAATACATGATTCCATATCTACAAAATTGTCGCTGTCAATGTCTTCTCCTGGCAGAAAATACATTGAATGTAAATTAGAAGTCGAACGAGAGGACTAAAAAATTTGAAATGAATTTTAGAATTAGTGTGAAATTTAGGAATTGAATGAAAGACAATGCCTTTTTTGACAGTTTTATGGCCCTAATAAAGGTAGTTGCCCTCTCAGATTGAAAGGAAGCTATGACAATATTGGAAGTGAAAATTATTAAAATTAGTTTTGTAGAGAATAAATAGTTAAATTCTAAATTTTAGCTTAAAAATTAAAACTTACAGCAGTACGTGTCCTAACGGTAGTATTCTTTAATTCTGCATAACTCGACTGAGGAAAAGTATGCCCATTTTCGGTTGTTATACTGACAAGCCTTTCGTCACGAAGAGTTGCACTGCTACTGCTTGATGGTACAGCACTCGAGTCAAAAACACCTGTAGCTCCCTCATTACAAACAGATTGATTATCATTACAAGGCATAGAAAGTTTGAAACGTGTGAAGTTATTTAGTCGTTAATTAATAAATTTTTAAAAATTTTTCGAATTCCTAGAAAAAGAAGATTTGATGCTGTTTTTATAAATTAAAAATCTGTCTAAAAAGGGCATTTTCCTCTAAATAAATTACAGTAACCGGTTTCGAGGCCTCCAAGAATATTTATTTCAAAAGTAGTGTACATATGTCCAAATCAACACGTCCAGTCAAAAATAGCCACCATATTTTTCCATATGGCGACAAACGGAAATGCATTTAATGACTATGCGAAAAAGTTGAGCGCGGCCACTATGGCTCAAGGGCATGCGGGAAATATTGTTAGAATAGTGTCCCCCGTCATTGGGGTCTTGCGCCACAGCGACCCGCAATATAGCGGGTCGCCTCGAAAAAGTCCATGCGTCATTCGCGCGGTGATATCAAAATGTAAACTTGTTGAAAATATTTCAAAATACCCATTAAAAAGAATACAATTTCAAAAAGAAAATTTTTAAATGTTTGGAATATTTTTCTCACAAAATAAACAATAGAATTGTGAAAATATATTAAACCCCATTTACATTTTCTAAATTTGTTGAAATTTCGATCATGCTTGATTACTCACGTTAGGTATATAGAATAATTTGTAACGTTTGTACATTTTGACAGTTTTTATTTCGTTATTATTTTAGAAAAGTGTCTTTTTGGTAAAATTTTTTGACCAAAAATTATCGAGAAACGAATCTTCTTGATTCGAAAACTTTTGAATGGTTGCAATTTTTATTTGTTTATTTTGCGTTTTATGGTGACTAATAGATATTGAGATCAATAGTTTAGTATTTCGTCCGGCAATCCCGGAGAATTGGGGTCCCTGCGAAAAAAAAGTTTAAAAATAAGAAAAAGGTTTTTTCTAGGGTGAAAAAATATGCTGATTACGAATCTGAACTCAGATTTTGAAAAGGTCGAATCCCGAACCCGGATATAGGACCTCGAATATCGAAAAACCATAGGGGGGACCAAGCTGATTTTGGGGTAAAAAATTCGAATATGCAAATTATACCTCATTCGAAAGAGCTCTTCAAGCTGAGTCGAAGGACACCAAAATCATCGTGATTGAACAAGATCGGACGAAGTTATACCACATAAAACAAACAACGTAAGCCTAAGTTTTTTGTGTCATAACTTCGCCCGATCTTGATCAATCACGGTGATTTTGATGTCATTCGACTCAGCTCGTCGAGCTCTTTCGAATGAGCTATTATTTGACCAATTTGCGCTCTGTGAAATTTTCCCCAAAATGTCGAATGTCCGACTTCGGGTTCGGGATTCGACTTTTTCAAAATCCGAGCTCATATTCGTAATCAGCATACTTTTTTACCCTAGAAAAAACCTTTTTCTTATTTTTAAACTTTTTTTTCGCAGGGACCCCAATTCTCCGGGATTGCCTTTCGTCCTTATAAGCTCATAAGAGTGCATGTGATTTTTAACATTTCAATTTATCTGAGTAAATTCTTTTTATCTTTTAGATTTAAAATACTAAAATGACTTCCTTGATACCTATACGTTTTCAAGAACTCTTTTCTGTAAGTTTTTTTGAAATTACTGGGGTTTTATTTCTTATTTTAGTTGCAAAAGATGGGGATCAGTCCCAACAATATCAGTTTTGGATATGTGACCATGGAATCTGACAAGTACATCGTTGTTAGAGAGACAGTTGGTGACTCGTCGCAAGCCGTCGTTATAAATGTTGCGAACCCAACTGATATTCTTAGAAAACCGATTAGCGCTGACTCGGTTATGATGCATCCAGTTTCGAGAATTTTGGCTCTTAAATGTTTTTTTTCATTACTTTTTTTCTAAAAATCCTTTTATTTTTTAGTGCTTAAGAATCTCCAAATTTTCGATTTGGAATTGAAAGCCAAAATAAAAGCTTACAGTGGAACAGAAGATGTTAAGTTTTGGACCTGGATTAACTCAAATACCATTGGATTTGTGACAGATGTTTCGGTGTACCATTGGACACTTAGTGGTTTATTGTTTTTAATTATACATATTAACTGCCATTTAAGGTGATGCTGCACCTGCCAAAGTATTTGATCGACATTCAACTTTGCAGAGTACTGAAATAATCAGTTATCGATCTAACGCCGATGGGAAGTTTCTTTTGCTTGTTGGAATTTCGTCAAAGGTTGTTTCCTTTATTCGTTTCTAAATTAATTTAAAAATAGGATAGTCGCATTGTTGGAGCAATGCAACTCTATAGTACGGAGAGGAAGGTTTCTCAAGCCATTGAAGGTCATGCTGCTTGTTTTGTACAATTCAAGCTTGAAGGTAATCCACATCCGAGTAGTCTTGTTTGTTTTTCTTTGCGTAATGCTGCTGGAGGAAAGGTTATTTGAAAGTGATTACAATGTCAAATCGAATTTTTAGTTGCACATTGTGGAAGTCTCACAAACTCCTGCTGGCAATCAGCAATTTCCTAAGAAGGCCATTGACGTTGTTTATCCTGCTGATGCTGCTTCGGACTTTCCTCTTTCAATGCAGGTTTAGTTTGATTTAGATTCTAGCCTCGATTTATCTTAATTTTTAGGCGTCCTCAGCTTATGGAATTTTGTATATGATCACCAAATATGGTTATGTTCATGTGTTCGATATCGAGACTGGCTTTTCAATCTATACAGTTCGTATTTCGACTGATACGATTTTCATTACAACTGAACATACTTCTAATAATGGCGTTCTTGGTATTAATAGAGCTGGCCAGGTTTTCATCTTATCTAATATACAGCCCTACAAATTTATTTAAGGTCCTTTCTGTTTGTTTGGACGAAACAACCGTCATTCCTTACGTCACTCAACAATTACAAAATCCGGATTTGGCTCTCAAATTGGCTTGTCGTTGCAATCTTCCTGGGGCTGAAGAACTTTTTGTTCGCAAATTTAATTTGTTGATTGGAAATGGAAATTATCCAGAAGCTGCAAAAGTTGCTGCAACTGCACCTCAAAATATCCTCAGAACACCACAGACGTTACAAAAATTCCAAGTTGCTGTTCCACAAGGGAAGGCTACTTATCCTCTTCTAATCTATTTCAATGCGTTGTTAGAACAAGGCTCTTTAAATAAATATGAGTCATTGGAATTATGTCGACCTGTTTTAGTTCAGGTTTGTACTTTAACATTTATGATGAATCTTTCCTTTCTTTTTCAGGGAAAGAAACAACTTGTTGAAAAATGGATTTCTGAGAGCAAACTGGAATGTAGTGAAGAATTGGGTGATTTGGTTAAGCAATATGACGTTAATCTCGCATTAAGCATTTACCTTCGCGGCAGTGTGCCACATAAAGTTGTTCAGTGCTTTGCTGAAATGGGACAATTTGACAAGATTATTCTCTATGCTAAAAAGGCAAATTACGAACCTGATTATCTTTACCAAATGCGTCAAGTTTTGCGAACACATCCAGATAATGCTGCGACATTTGCGCAAATGTTGGTCAGCGAGGGTCCAAATGGAGAACCATTGGCTGATATAAATCAGGTTTTATTTGTAACTTTCTGTTTTTCATTTCAAACTTCTTTAAAGATTGTTGACTGTTTTGTAGAGGTTGGAAATATTCAGCAATGTACTGCATTTTTGTTGGAAGCTCTAAAAGGAGATAGTGAATCGCAAGCTCATCTTCAGACTCGTCTTTTGGAAATGAATTTACTTTCTAATCCTCAAGTTGCTGATGCAATCTTAGGAAATCGAATGTTTAGTTATTATGATAGAGCCGCAATTGGGCAACTTTGTGAGAAGGCTGGTTTGTTACAACGAGCGCTTGAGCATTTTACTGATCTTTATGATATCAAACGTACAGTTGTTCATACGACACTTTTCAATCCAGAAGTAAAATTTAATTGATAAAAGTTAATTTTTCTCCTTCTTCATATTAAGTGGCTCATTAATTACTTTGGTCGACTCAATGTCCAAGATTCGTTGGAATGTTTAAAGGCAATGTTGCAGACAAATCTTCGTCAAAGTCTTCAAATTGTTGTGCAAATTGCGTCCAAATATTCTGAACAATTGACTACACAAGCGCTTATTGATTTGTTTGAATCTTTTAAAAGCTATGAAGGCCTCTTCTACTATCTTGGTTCTATCGTTAATTTCAGTCAGGATCCTGAAGTTCACTTTAAATATATTCAGGTATTTGTTAAATCTATTGAAAAGATTTTTTGTTTGTTAATCTTTACTCAAAATCATTTTTTTATTACATCTAGGCCGCTACGCGTGCTGGACATGTTAAAGAAGTTGAACGAATCTGCCGTGAGTCCAACTATTATGATGCTGAACGAGTCAAGACATATTTGAAAGAGGCTAAATTGACTGATCAGGTGCATTTCTTTGAGAAATGACTTTTCTCGATAATTTTATTTTCTGATTTTGTTTTTTTATTACTTATAAATTTTTGTTTAGTTGCCATTAATAATTGTTTGCGATCGCTATGACATGGTTCATGATCTTGTTCTATACTTGTATCGCAGTAATTTAATGAAGTCGATTGAAGTTTTTGTAAGCAAAGTAAATCCTAAACGCCTTCCTATTGTTGTTGGTGCATTGTTGGATGTTGATTGTAGTGAAGACACAATCAAACAATTAATTCAAAACACTCGTGGAAAATTTGACATTGATGAGCTTGTTGAGGAGGTTGAAAAAAGAAATCGGTTTATTTCTTTCTTAATTCTGCTTTTAATATAAATTCTTTTTTAAAGTCTAAAACTTCTGAGCTCTTGGCTGGAAAGTCGTGTGCAGGAAGGCAACTTTGATCAAGCCACACACAACGCTCTCGCAAAGATATACATTGATTCAAATAACAATCCTGAACGTTATCTTCGTGAAAACCAATATTACGATTCAAAAGTTGTTGGCAAGTATTGTGAGAAACGTGATCCACATTTTGCTTTGGTGGCATACGAACGTGGAAAGTGTGATGCCGAACTTATTTCTGTAATTTCTTAATATTTTCAAATTATTAAACGTGATTTTAAGGTTTGTAATGAGAATTCTCTCTTCAAAAATCTTGCTCGATATTTGGTCCGTCGTCGAGATGCGGAACTTTGGGCACAAGTACTTAAAGAAGACAATCCTCATCGACGTCAATTAATTGATCAAGTTGTTCAAACAGCACTTTCTGAGACTAAAGATGCTGAAGATATCACTCATACAGTAAAGGCGTTTATGGCTGCGGATCTTCCAAACGAATTAATTGAATTACTTGAGAAAATTGTTCTCGACACTTCAACTACAAGCGAACACAGAAATCTTCAAAATTTGTTAATTCTTACTGCAATGAGAGCTGATCCTTCACGAGTAATGGAATATATTCAAAAACTTGATAATTATGATGCACCTGACATTGCTAATATTGCCATTACAAATCAACTTTTTGAGGAAGCTTTTGCGATTTTTCGTAAATTTGGTGTGAATGCGTCAGCAATTAAGGCATAATTATAATTCTTGAAAGATTTTGTAAATTAATTTTTAGGTTTTAATTGAAAATATTAGAAATTTGGATCGTGCTTATGAATTTGCAGAAAAGGTTAATGAACCTGCAGTTTGGGCTGCACTTGCCAAAGCTCAACTAACGGAAGGATTGGTAAAGGAAGCTGTTGATTCCTTTATAAAAGCTGATGATCCAAGTGCTTTTATTGATGTAGCAAAAAAATGCGACGAAACTAACCATTGGGAAGATCTTGTTCGTTATCTTCAAATGGCTCGAAAGAAATCACGCGAATCTTTTATTGAAACTGAGCTTTGTTTTGCATATGCAAAAACTGGTCGATTGGCGGACCTTGAAGAGTTTATAGCTGAGCCCAATCATGCACAAATTCAACAAGTTGGTGACCGTTGCACAGAACAAGGAATGAATGATGCTGCCCGTATTTTATTCAACAGCATCAGCAACTTTGCTAAACTTTCGACTACTCTGGTTGAATTGGGAGATTTTCAAGGTGCTGTTGATGCTGCTCGAAAGGCTAATTCTACAAAAACATGGAAACAAGTAAATAATAAAATTTTTAGAGTTTTATTTTTGATACACTTTTTTTAGGTTTGTTTTGCTTGTGTAAATCATAAAGAGTTTCGTCTTGCGCAAATTTGTGGTCTCCACATTGTTGTGCATGCTGATGAATTGGAAGAACTGATAAATTACTACCAAAATCGCGGCCACTTTGAAGAACTCATTGCCCTATTGGAATCTGCTTTAGGATTAGAACGAGCACATATGGGAATGTTTACAGAGTTGGCTATTCTTTATAGCAAATATAAATCTGAGAAAATGCGTGAGCATCTGGAGTTGTTTTGGTCGCGTGTTAATATACCAAAGGTTTTTCAAATTTAGGGATTTATAAATTTATTTGTGTTAAGGTTCTTCGTGCCGCGGAGCATGCTCATTTATGGTCTGAACTTGTGTTTTTGTATGATAAATATGAGGAATATGATAACGCTGTGAATACAATGATTCAACATCCAACAGAAGCTTGGCGTGAACAACATTTTAAAGAAATTGTTACAAAGGTCTTTTTTAATTTTAAACTATATTTATAATGAATTTCACAGGTTGCAAATGTTGAGCTCTATTACAAGGCTATTCAATTTTATTTGGATTACAAGCCAATGTTGTTAGTTGATTTATTGATGGTTTTGTCGCCTCGTCTTGACCAAACACGGACTGTTATGTTTTTCCAAAAATGTATATAAATTAATGTCTGAGATTTTGTAAATATTTTTATTTTTCAGCTGGCGACCTTTCGCTTGTCCAGCCATATCTTCGGCACGTCCAAAATTTTAACAACAAAGCACTTAACGAGTGTCTAAATCAATTATTTATTGATGACGAAGATTATGAATCATTAAAGGCTAGTATTGAAACTTATGATAATTTTGACAATATTGCTTTGGCTCAGCAATTGGAACAACACTCATTGGTTGAATTTCGTCGAATATCTGCTTACCTCTACAAGGGAAATAATCGATGGAAACAATCTGTAGAAATTTGCAAAAGAGACAAACTTTACTCAGTTTGTTTTAATTTTTTTAAAATTTTATTAAGAATTTGTTAAATTTAAGGATGCAATGGATTATGCGGCAGAGAGTCGTCAACCAGAAGTTGTCGAAGGTTTAATGAAATTTTTCTTACAAGAAGGACTAAATGATTGTTTCTCTGCATTATTATATAAATGTTATGATCTTTTGAAACCTGATATTGTATTAGAATTGGCTTGGAAACACAAAATTGTTGATTGTGCTATGCCTTTTATGATACAAACTGTTCGTGATTTTGGATCGAGGGTATTTTGTTTTAAAATCTAAATTTTTAAATAAAATACATGTTTGTTAGTTGGAAAGACTTGAAAGAGCTGAGGTTGAAAGAAAAGAAGAAGTTAAAGAACAGCAACAACGTTCAGGAAATATTAGTAAGAATTTTTGTTTTGAAGGGAGAGGGCAATTTTTGCTATCGTTCTGGGGGCATTCATTATTTTCCTTTGAACGAATTTCCATCTTTCCGTCGACATTGGCTTACTAATACTTGCTTTTTTTATATGTATATTTTATTTTAGTGGAGCCTCAACTAATGTTGCCAGCCTATCCGTCTGTTCAGAATTCTACATATCCTGGTGCAATACCTGCTGCGCCATTTGTGACGCCTGCTTATGCGACTTTTCCTTTTAATAAATGAAGTGTTGTGACGATTGAAAATATAAGAATAATAATGAGGAGAATCTTGACTTAAATATATCGCAAATTCTATGTTAAAGAATCGTTTATAAATTGACTTTTGGTAATTCTGAACTGTCCCATCCAGTTTTTTTTCCTAAGAGATGAATTATGGACAGGAAGTTCAAATTACAAAATTTTTCTCAAAACAATTATATTTTTTGTTTTCACTTGTAATGACTTCTTTAAATTAGTGAGGGATTATTTGTTTGTTTTATTTTTTTAATTGGTTTTGGGTTAAAAAATTATAATTGCTTATTTAAAATTAGCTTATCAAGTGTAATTAACCATATAGTATTGTCATATTTAAAGTTAACATATTTTTTGTCTCATGTTAAATTAGTAGACTTTTTATTACCAATCTTCTAAAAGAATATTTGTTTAATGTTTTGGATTATTGTTGGGGTCTTAATTGCTGTTATGTTAATGTAAGTTACTTTGTAATCGTTTATTAACCACATTAAAATTTCAGAATTTCAATTCTTACGGCAATTTATTTTAATAAAAATGATAAATCTAAGAATGATAAGGAAAAAGTTAAGGGAGGAGGAATTGAAATGGGAGAAGAAGAGGCTGGAGGAAATAGTAACATAATAATCGAAGAAGAGTCAGAAGGATATCAGAATTTGAATGGAGAGGATTTGGATGGAGGAAATTTGGATAAAGAAGATTGCAAAGAAATGGAAGAAGAGGCTGAAGGAAATAATTTAATAATTGAAGAAGAGGCGGAAGGATATCAGAATTTGGGTGGAGGAGATTTGGATAAAGAAGATTTCAAAATGGGAGAAGAGGCTGAGGGAAATAGTAACTTAATAATCGAAGAAGTGGCTGAAGGATATCAGAATTTGGATGGAGGAGATTTGGATGAAGATGATTTCAAAAAAATAGATGAAAAAGATTTTAATTTAAAAAGTGGAGATAATAAATTGTTGAAACTTAATTCAATCAAAATTGATTGCCAATGGAAAGTTGCAAATTCAGACAAACCAGTTGTCTTCACAGATGAACAAAAGATGAGAGTGGCCTACCATGAAGGTGGCCATTCTGTACTTGCACGTCTACTAAAGATAAACTTTCCAGTCACAAAAGTATGTTAATTTATTGAATGTTTAATTCAAAAATTTTATTCAGGTATCAGTAATTCCTGCACTTGATTACCATGGCATCACATTATTTGGTGAGGAAAGAATTCTGGAAGTTTTTCAAGATTTAGACGACAAACTTGAGATTATGTATGCAGGCGCTGCATCTGAAGAACATTTTCTCAGTGGTACACATTCAATTGGTGTTACTGATGACTTTAATAGAGCGACACAATTAGCGGCATATATGGTTTAAGATGTTCTAATATTTTTATTTATAATTTTATAGGTTGAAGAATGTGGCTATTCGGAAAAATTGGGTCCGTTAACTGCAAAACCAAATTCGTCTGAATATCTATTACAACTTCAAGATGAAGAGACGTATGCTTTAACAACAAAAGCTTGGTATAGGGCAAAAGAATCGATCAAAAAATATGAAAAGCAAATTCAAAAGGTTTATTTTGACTCCTAAATAATAAGTTCAAATAACAAGTTTTAGGTTGCCGACTTTTTGTTTCAACATGGAGAGCTCGATTCTTCAAAACTTCAAAAGTAAGTACTTGCTTTTCTTTATAAGCTTGTGCTTAGAGCCCGGACTTCGGTAAGAAACTCCTTTTCCGACAAGATCCCGGATTTTTATGCATTAATTTAAAATCTTCAAAAATACCGAATTATGCATAAAAATACCCTCCATTCATAAATGAAATTAAAAAAACAAAATCAATAAAAAAGAAGTTTATTAGTTGGTAATACGAAGGCTGTCCCCCTTTTTTCTTCTCTATGAATGTTATAGTGGTCATTCTTTTTGTCCTTCCTCAATTTCACTTTATTTCCCTGATCCAAATTCAAATCCGACTTTCTTCTCCAAAAAAGACATCAACTGTTTTTTAGTTGTTCGACAGCCACATTTATAGCAGGTCCGTTGTTTATAAATTTTAAGCTATTCGAGTCATGCATTGAAATCATTGTCGCGACGAGGAAATAGAGTGAAATTTAGTATGAATTACTGATCATTATGTCATTCCTAAGGAAAAAAGATGGGCCAGCTTTGGTATTACCGAGAAGTTTTTTACATAAAAATCCTTTTAAAAATACAACTAACTTTTTAAATTTAGCATTATTGACTCTACGCCGATCAATGACGCCCAACAATAACAAAGCTGAAAAAATAAAAAATTTATAGTAATTTGTTTTCTAGAGAGCGAGCTGGATCTGGATCCAGACCTTGATTTTTCCTGGATCCATTTTTCCTGGATCCTGGATCTATACATTTCTTCGATTGTCAGCGCCGTAGGCGAAAATTTTAAGAATTTGGACGGTCATAGGCGAAAATCCCTCCTCATGGAGCCGTTAATCGTCTAAAATCCTCTTATGTTCCTCGGTATCCTGTCAAATCCTCTTCCATATCCACTTAATCCTGAAATATCCCTTCAAATCCTAAAATATTTCTTTAAATACCCGTATATCCCACTTAATCTCCAGTTATCGGTCTAAATGAAAAAATCAAGAATCAAGGCCTGGATCCAGGCAAAAATAATCCTTGATTTTTCCTTGACTCAAGGTCAAGAATCTGGTCAAGGTACCCAACCGAAATCAAGGTCAAGGATCAAGGTCAAGGTTTTTTGAAAATCTCGCTCTATTGTTTTCTTGTTCTAGATCTCAATTTTTTGTGCCTTTATTTTTAGTACATTTATCTTATTTAATTATTGTAAATTATATGCTGAATTGATCAAAAATATTTTCATTGTTAGATTTATTAAGAAATTATCACTTAAAAATGGTAATGATTACATAAGGTTGTTCAAACCCGTTCACACTTTCTTATGATTTTTCTTGTTTTTTTTTTTGCTTTCTACATTCTAAGGAACATTTTAATTGTACTTCCCTTTAAGGTGATCTGCACCTACCAAAGTATTTGATCGACATTCAACTTTGCAAAGTACTGAAATAATCAGTTATCGATTTAACGCCGATGGGAAGTTTCTTTTGTTTGTTGGAATTTCGTCAAAGGTTGTTTCATTTTTTATTTTCTAATTATTTTGAAAATACTATAGCCGCATTGTTGGAGCAATGCAACTCTATAATACGGAGAGGAAGGTTTCTCAAGCCATTGAAGGTCATGCTGCTTGTTTTGTACAATTCAAGCTTGAAGGTAATCCACATCCAAGTAGTCTCGTCTGTCTTTCTTTGCGTAATGCAGCTGGAGGAAAGGTTTTATTTGAAATTTGATAACATTCCATCAACTTTTTAGTTGCATATTGTGGAAGTCTCACAAACTCCTGCTGGCAATCAGCAATTTCCTAAAAAGGCCATTGACGTTGTTTATCCAGCTGACGCTGCTTCGGACTTTCCTCTTTCAATGCAGGTTTAGTGTGATCCAGATTCTAGCCTCGATTTATTTTAATTTTTAGGCATCCTCAGCGTATGGAATTTTCTATATGATCACCAAATATGGTTATGTTCATGTGTTCGATATTGAGACTGGCTTTTCAATCTATACAGTTCGTATTTCGACTGATACGATTTTCATTACAACTGAACATACTTCTAATAATGGCGTTCTTGGTATTAATAGAGCTGGCCAGGTTTTTAATGATCTAATATACAGCCCTACAAATTTATTTAAGGTCCTTTCTGTTTGTCTGGACGAAACAACCGTCATTCCTTACGTCACTCAACAATTACAAAATCCGGATTTGGCTCTCAAATTGGCTTGTCGTTGCAATCTTCCTGGGGCTGAAGAACTTTTTGTTCGCAAATTTAATTTGTTGATTGGAAATGGAAATTATCCAGAAGCTGCAAAAGTTGCTGCAACTGCACCTCAAAATATCCTCAGAACACCACAGACGTTACAAAAATTCCAAGTTGCTGTTCCACAAGGGAAGGCTACTTATCCTCTTCTAATCTATTTCAATGCGTTGTTAGAACAAGGCTCTTTAAATAAATATGAGTCATTGGAATTATGTCGACCTGTTTTAGTTCAGGTTTGTACTTTAACATTTATGATGAATCTTTCCTTTCTTTTTCAGGGAAAGAAACAACTTGTTGAAAAATGGATTTCTGAGAGCAAACTGGAATGTAGTGAAGAATTGGGTGATTTGGTTAAGCAATATGACGTTAATCTCGCATTAAGCATTTACCTTCGCGGCAGTGTGCCACATAAAGTTGTTCAGTGCTTTGCTGAAATGGGACAATTTGACAAGATTATTCTCTATGCTAAAAAGGCAAATTACGAACCTGATTATCTTTACCAAATGCGTCAAGTTTTGCGAACACATCCAGATAATGCTGCGACATTTGCGCAAATGTTGGTCAGCGAGGGTCCAAATGAAGAACCATTGGCCGATATAAATCAGGTTTTATTTGTAACTTTCTGTTTTTCATTCCAAACTCTTTTAAAAGATTGTCGACTGTTTTGTGGAGGTTGGAAATATTCAGCAATGCACTGCATTTTTGTTGGAAGCTCTAAAAGGTGATAGTGAATCGCAAGCTCATCTTCAGACTCGTCTTTTGGAGATGAATTTACTTTCGAATCCTCAAGTTGCTGATGCCATCTTAGGAAATCGAATGTTTAGTTATTATGATAGAGCCGCAATTGGGCAACTTTGTGAGAAGGCTGGTTTGTTACAACGAGCGCTTGAGCATTTTACTGATCTTTATGATATCAAACGTACAGTTGTTCATACGACACTTTTCAATCCAGAAGTAAAATTTAATTGATAAAAGTTAATTTTTATCCTTCTTCTATTAAGTGGCTCATTAATTACTTTGGTCGACTCAATGTCCAAGATTCGTTGGAATGTTTAAAGGCTATGTTGCAGACAAATCTTCGTCAAAGTCTTCAAATTGTTGTGCAGATTGCATCTAAATATTCTGAACAATTGACTACACGTTTGAATCTTTTAAAAGCATGAAGGCCATTTCTATTACCTTGGTTCTATCTTGGTCCGTCGTCGTGATGATTTCAGTCAGTACCCGGAAGTTCATTTTAAATATATTCAGGTATTTGTTAGATCTGTTTATTGAAAAGATTTTTTAGTTGTATCGCAGTAATTTAATGAAGTCGATTGAAGTTTTTGTAAGCAAAGTAAATCCTAAACGGCTTCCTATTGTTGTTGGTGCATTGTTGGATGTTGATTGTAGTGAAGACACAATCAAACAATTAATTCAAAACAATCGTGGGAAATTTGACATTGATGAGGTTGAAAAAAGAAATTGGTTTATTTCTTTCTTAATTTTGCTTTTACTATAAATTCTTCTTTAAAGTCTAAAACTCCTGAGCTCCTGGCAGGAAAGTCTTGTTCAAGAAGGCAACTTTGATCAAGCCACACACAACGCTCTCGCAAAGATATACATTGTTTCAAACTGAACGTTATCTTCGTGAAAACCAATATTACGATTCAAAAGTTGTCGGCAAGTATTGTGAGAAACGTGATCCACATTTTGCTTTGGTGGCGTACGAACGTGGAAAGTGTGATGCCGAACTTATTTCTGTAATTTCTTAATATTTTCAAATTATTAAGCGTGATTTTAAGGTTTGTAATGAGAATTCCCTTTTCAAAAATCTTGCTCGATATTTGGTCCGTCGTCGTGATGCGGAACTTTGGGCTGAAGTACTTAAAGAAGACAATACTTATCGACGTCAATTAATTGATCAAATTGTTCAAACAGCACTTTCTGAGACTAAAGTTACTGAATATTTTCACAGATTAACAAAGATGGGTACTTTCCTGTTATCGGCCCTCCGTTTTTTCTTCCTTATTTATCAACCTACTTCTGTACAAAATGGTCAGATTTTCTCTCTTTCTCAAATTCACTACGTTTCCCGGTGGCAACAAAGAAAAGATTATTTTTTGCAAAGAACAGATTAATTTTTTAAAACATTCAAGATCAAAAAAGATAAAACATAAATTGTCAAAAGGGGAAGTTATCCCAATGACTTGGAAAGTTGTTCTGTAAATATGGGAAGTTGTTCTATTCTAACAATGGGGGAACAACTTCTGTCTTTTTTTGTTGCCACAAGGGAACGGGAGTGAATTTGAGAAAGAAAAAATCTGACCATTCTGTACAGAAGTAGGTGAGAAATAAGGAAGAAAAAATAGAGGGCCGATAACAGGAAAGTACCCAAAGATGAGAGCGGCCTACCATGAATGTGGCCCTACATACTTGGACGTCTACTGAAGATAAATTTTCCAGTCATAAAAGTATTCTCTATTTCATTGAATGTTTAAACAAAAATTTTATTCAGTTATCAATAATTCCTGCAGTTGATCACCATGGCATTACAGAATTTGGTGAAGAAAAAATTCTGGAAGTATTTCAAGATTTAGACGACAAACTTGAGATCATGTATGCAGGCGCTGCATCGGAAGAACATTTTCTCAGTGGTACACATTCAGTTGGTGTTACTGATGACTTTAAAAGAGCGACACAATTAGCGGCATATATGGTTTAAGATGTTCTAATATTTTTATTTATAATTTTATAGGTCTAAGAATGTGGCTATTCGGAAAAATTGGGTCCGTTAACTGCAATACCAAATTCATCTGAATATTTTAAACAACTTCAAGATGAGAAATATTTGCATTAACTACAAAAGCCTGGCTTATGGCGAAGGAATCGGTCAAGAAATTTGAAAAGCAAATTCGAAAGGTTTACTTTAGCTATTATGCAATAAGTTAAAATAAAAAGTTTAGTTTGCACTTGCCTATGTAAAAACTGGTCGATTGTCGGACCTTGAAGAGTTTATATCTGAGTTCAATCATGCATAAATTCAACAAGTTGGTGACTGTTGTACAGAACAAGGAATGAATGATGCTGCCCGTATTTTATTCAACAGCATCAGCAACTTTGCCAAACTTTCTACTACTTTGGTTGAATTGGGAGACTTTCAAGGTGCTGTTGATGCTGCTCGAAAGGCTAATTCTACAAAAACATGGAAACAAGTAGATAATAAAATTTTTAGAATTTTATTTTCTATATACTTTTTAGGTTTGTTTTGCTTGTGTAAATCATAAAGAGTTTCGTCTTGCTCAAATTTGTGGTCTCCCTATTGTTGTGCATGCTGATGAATTGGAAGAACTGATAAATTACTACCAAACTCGCGGCCACTTTGAGGAACTCATTACTCTATTGGAATCTGCTTTAGGATTAGAACGAGCACATATGGGAATGTTTACAGAGTTGGCTATTCTTTATAGTGTTACCCCCGGACTCGAGACTCGATACTTGCCCTTTTCATCAAGTCCCGACCCCGACCATATTTCCCATCGATGTTTATATTTATTTTATATTTATTCCTTCCCAGCCTATCTTTACACTTTATCTCTCTTCTTCTCAATTATTGTTCACCTTCTTCCGTTCCCAACATTAATCACAATTACATTCATCCTTTTGTCAACAACTTTATAACTTCCTCCCATCTTTCCCAGACACATTTTGCCCTATCAACTTTCTTATATCCCACCCACTATTCCCCATATTTAACCACAAACTATTCAATGTATCTTTAATTCAGTTTATCCAAGTCCCGATTTAATGTCCATATAATTAATCCTCTTTTATTATATTATCCCTTATCAAAACACTACCCGTTTAATTGTATTTTAAATGGAAATAAATATTATGAACTATTCTTTTAACTATTTAAATTAGTCCTCTGCGCCTCCCCTACCCAAATTCCCCCACAAACATACGGCGCTCTGAAGGTGCCTGGACCGGGAAGGTCCAGCGCATAACTGGTAGCACCGGATGGTTTCAACCCCCTCTAGGTCTTGGGCATCCCGGTTTCTTTTCCCTATAGATTTAATTTGTCCATTCCCTATCCTAAATTTTTGAATTAAATTTTTTTAAAAATTTTCTCCTTACCTTTATTCCATTCTTACCCTTCCTATTCTTATTTCCCTTTCCCAAGGTTCATTTCCCCCTTCACTCTACCCAAATTTTTTTCAATCCGTATTCCATCATATTTTTCAATAATTAGCATTTTCCAATAAATTCCCTTCTTATGTCCCATACTCTTCCAACCAAACATTACACATTGGCGTTATAAAAAACACCAATGTTTTGTCTCCTATTAAACATTTTTCTTTCCATTCAATTTCTTTCTGATTTTTCCTCTTCTAATTTTTCTTCATTTCTCTCCCATTCGAATTTTTAATTAGCATTCCCTTCTCTTCCCCACCAGAAATTTGAACATATCTCCATCCTGTAAGGATGGAATTTTTCAAAAATCTAAATTTTCCATTAAGATTAGTATTTTCCAATAGACTCATATGTCCGAACTTTTTCCCAGTCAAGCATTACACAAAACATTGGCGTTATAAAAAACCATCAATGCTTTGTTTGCTCCTACGCCCCTACCCCATTAAAAGACATTTTCCTTCCATTCTTTGTCCCATACGCGAACTAATAATTTCATTTCACTTCCCATCCCACTCGATAATTTTTAATTCCCATTCTTTCCACTTTCCCACGAAAAAATAAAAACATATCTTCATCCTATTAGGATGAATGATTCTCTAAGTCCCAACTGATATAAATTCCAATTAATATTTTTTTCAAAAGACGACCTATCTCCATCCTTATTCCTTTCCTCCTCCCCACCTATAAAAAAGCATTTTTATTCATTTTTAAATGAACAAAATGATTAATCCAATATAGTCAATATTTCCCAATAAATTCCTTTCCTATTGCCCAGACTCCTCAGTACAATCCATCCAATCCCACAATTTCTCCCCCTCTGGCTCTTAGGACTCCACATCTCCTTCCATTCCCCCGGGCGTTATCCGATTTTTTTTCTCAAAAATAAATAAACTTTATCCCGGATTTTAAAGATATTTTATTCAAATAAATTAAAAATCCGTGTCCATGTGAATTGTTATTTCAATTTTTCACCTTTATTTCCGTAGTTAAAAACCCTAAAGCTATTAATCATTGAAATTAATCACTGAAATTTTGGACGAGGAAATCCTAAATTCCTGCCTCTTAATTCTCTCCAAAAAGAATGAGAGGAAGAACTCCCCACCCAAAATTTACTAAAATCCAATCAACTGAAGCCCCCATTTTTATAATGTCTGCTTAACCAAATGTTCAAGTGTACTTTTAAAAAAAATCAAATCCTTAATTACAAAGTCCAGGATAAATAATTAAAATAATATAGTCCAATGTGCACCTAAAAATTAAATCCCTAATAATCATTCATGAAACCAAAATCCAGGAAATCAATATAAAATAGTCCAAGTGCATTTAAAAATTAAATCCTCAATATTCAATAAAAATTTCATGTCCGAGGATAACAAACAAAAATAGTCCAATGTGCACTTAATAATCATATATAATCTCAAAGTCCTGGATACAAAAAAAGTCCTATGTGCACTCAAAAATCATATCCTTAATAATCACTCAAAGAAATCAATGTCCTGGACAAAAAAATTAAAACAAAATAGTCCGATGTGCACATAATAATCATAAATTAAAGTCCAGTACAAAAAGTTAAAATAAAATAGTCCAAAGTGCACATAATCCACATAATCCTTCCTATCCTTTATGATTAAGTAGAACATAAAGGCTTTTGATTAAGCAGACAATAAAGGCTCAAAAACTAATCACTTCCTCAAAAAGGTTTTCAAGAACGATAGTAATTTAAAGCTAGTTAATTTTAAAATAAAATATTAGCATTAATTCAAATTAATCTAATCGTGAAATATTTTACACAAAATCCAATAAAAACAATAACTCAAGGATTAAAAACCTTGGGCTCGGTCATAGTAACCATCAATTATTCAACTATACTAACACATTCAAATCTCAATTCATCTTTTATTAAATTTTTATATTAGAATAGCTGATCCCCAATTAGACGTGTATGGTTCATTCCCCTCTGGCCATGGTTAACCCAGTCCTTCCCTTACAAATTTTCTAATGGTTCAAATGCCCTCTAGGTATTGGTCACCCCCGCCCTTTCCCCTATAATTTTTTTAAAAAATGTTTTCCCTCTAGGTCTGAGTCACCCCAGTTTCTACCCTATATTTTTCAAGTAAGGTCCCCCCCTCTTTCCTCCCTCAATCTCTTCTAAATATTTAATTTTTAATTTAATTTAATTTAAAAATTATTCCCGCTCCAATCTGTATTTCCAATTCCATTCCCTCCCTATCCCATAGCTCAGAAAGACGTTAACTAAGCGACGCTAAAATTATATTTAGGAATTTTAAAGATCCCCCTCTCTTCAAGTAAAGAAATCCATTAGAATTAATTTGAAATTAATCATAATTAATCTAATTGGGAAACAATAAATCCACTCCCCCTTTCCAAAGCTCCCAAATTACTAATAACTTCTTGAAATGACTCCTCCAGTCCTACACTCATCCCCACCCTCCCCCTCCACAATACACATTTTTCGCATATTTTTATTTTAATTAATATTTCCTACTCAATTATTAACTACAAAAATACATCAATACTCAATTATAACATCGTCTCATCTACTACATGTCGCTGGATGCTGTGAAGTAAATAAACACATATCTTTATCAGTAAAATGGCCGTAGATAAGTTTACCAAACAAAAATCCCATTACTCCCTTCCAATTATCGAGTAACTTAAAACTCAAGAACCATAAAATATTATTTCAACATAAAAGGCCTTGAGGGAGAATAATCCTTATTTATTACCCCTGGGAAATTAGAATTAATAATTAGTCCCATCATTCAATATATTAGTTTATATATTGAAATTTGGTAAATTTGAATTATCATTAAATCCCACCCACCATTCAACTAATCCCTTTAATCCAAATTTACAACCCCTTCCAAATTTACAAACCAAAATTCAAGAACCAAAAGAGACTCAAAAATTTTACTTCAATTAATCCAAATTCCCCATCCCGACACCTATATAAGATGCAAATCCCTCAAGTAATTTAAATAAAATATTTTCGAAATTATTGAAAGTGCTTAGTCAAAAACTCAATAATTTTCGAACAACTATTAATCACTTTCCTAATCACCTCTAATACCCAAAGATGAACACACAAGTAAGTTATTATTTTCAATATCAATAAATCACTTCAACACTAATATTAAAATTCAGTCTGAACTCGAATCCGTTCCCAAGAATTATGCCTCCTCAACCCAAAATGCCTCCTCAACAGAATATGCCTTTCTCAATCTCTTTTCAACGACAATATGACATTGCTTTCTCAACTCAATATGCTTCCCTGAACACACAACTACTTTCAAATTCAATCTGAACTCGAAATTGCTCTGACCACAAAATGATTTTGACCAAAGAATGAAAACGGATGAACAAAAACAAATTCAATCACATTTTCATTTTTCCAAATTTGTAATTTACAATTTTTCACTTTTCTCCCTCTAGTTTCCATTTCAAAATATTTAATTCTAGATTTTACTGTTCCTTCCCCTCATTCATCTATATTTTATTTTTTAGGTTCTGATTTTCCTTTCCCGCTTATATTTAAGTATTGAGTCTTTAAAAGCCATGGGGAAATAAATATTTTAGAATAGAACAAAATCCCCTTTCCATTAAGATCAAACGGACTAAGTAAGTACACAATTTGATCACCAAAACCCAACGTGAAACTTCCAAATAAACATACACCCAAAGGCCCAAGAAATGACGGAATAGACAACCATCATTTCTAAATCTAACAAATCCAAAATGGCGGCCTAAAAATCCACCATTTACCACACATCCCCATTGGCTCCACAAAAAATACTAGAATGGCCAAAACAAAATAAACCCCACTCCCAAAAATGTCGGACTTAAAACCCAACATTTGATCCAAACTTCACTGAAAATTAAGAAAATTTTAATGGCGGACTAAAAAACCACCATCAGACTCAATCTTCCTTTCCCCTCCAAAAAAAACCAACCAACAATCCATAAGCGCAGGGTCGCGCTTATTGGCGGCAGGGAGATGTTACCCCCGGACTCGAGACTCGATACTTGCCCTTTTCATCAAGTCCCGACCCCGACCATATTTCCCATCGATGTTTATATTTATTTTATATTTATTCCTTCCCAGCCTATCTTTACACTTTATCTCTCTTCTTCTCAATTATTGTTCACCTTCTTCCGTTCCCAACATTAATCACAATTACATTCATCCTTTTGTCAACAACTTTATAACTTCCTCCCATCTTTCCCAGACACATTTTGCCCTATCAACTTTCTTATATCCCACCCACTATTCCCCATATTTAACCACAAACTATTCAATGTATCTTTAATTCAGTTTATCCAAGTCCCGATTTAATGTCCATATAATTAATCCTCTTTTATTATATTATCCCTTATCAAAACACTACCCGTTTAATTGTATTTTAAATGGAAATAAATATTATGAACTATTCTTTTAACTATTTAAATTAGTCCTCTGCGCCTCCCCTACCCAAATTCCCCCACAAACATACGGCGCTCTGAAGGTGCCTGGACCGGGAAGGTCCAGCGCATAACTATAGCAAATATAAATCTGAGAAAATGCGTGAACATTTGGAAACACAAAATTGTTGATTGTGCTATGCCTTTTATGATACAAACTGTTCGTGATTTTGGATCGAGGGTATTTTGTTTTAGAATTTAAATTTTAAATAAAATATTTTGTTAGTTGGAAAGACTTGAAAGAGCTGAGGTTGAAAGAAAGGAAGAAGTTAAAGAACAGCAACAACGTTCAGGAAATATTAGTAAGAATTGGAATAATTTCGGAATACTAAACAGACTCCGATTGGGACAAATTATATGTCATTCGATTCAGCTCGGCGAGCTGAGTCGAATGACATCAAAATATCTATTGGGACGTAACTATTTGCCTGCCGCACATGGAATCATCTCTATTTCATCAAAACAAAATTGCCCAAATTGTTTTATCACGATGATTGATCCCATTTGTTAAAGCTCAAGCTATTCTAAATCGTATACTTGAATTTTCCGACCAATATGTACACTCTGTTTCAAAAGTATAACCCACTTTTGATTTTTCACTTTTCTCGATGATAAGTTAATGTATTTTTTTGAAATTTGGTATGTTGATTCATTTAACTAATCTACGAATATTCCCGCAGTTCCATCAATTTTTATCTAATACAAAATTTTTAATTAATTTTTTTCTAAATTCTACCCCAAAATAGATGTTTCATAAGTATAACCCACTTTTATTTTTCATATTTGCAATAATAGGAAAAATCTAAAAAAAATTCCTCAAACATGTATATTGATATTATAAAAATTAGAAAAAAAACAGGTCCATATCTCTACTCAATGCCGAGATCCTGACACCTCTAAAACCTCGAAAATCAACGTAAAACGAGGGTAGGTCTATTTAAAAAATATTTTCTACACAGTAAATGTAGTTTTGAAATTTTATTTTTGGCATATCTGAAAGCCCTTAAAATTTGCTACAAGATAGCATTTGCCTTATTCTTCAGAAAAAATCCATTAGCGAGATACAGGTGGTTAAACTTCAG